CAGGAGCCCCATCGTAAATGCACCAAACAATTCCTCAAGATTTTCCAAAACACTACTCTGTTTTGGGCTCCTGGGGAACTTTGAAGTAGCACCAAAGCTTTAAGATCTCTCCAGCTGTCACCTGGAGACTGGCAACAGCTTGTCTGGAGTGTGGGCAGCATGTCATTGTATCTGTCTGAGGTCCCCCTCTTCCTCTTCCTCCTCAGATCCCACCCTCAGCAGGCTTCATCCCTAAAATATCCTGGAAGTTTCCAACCTGGAGTTGGCAACCCTATGTCCTGTAGTTCGAACCTGGAGTTGGCAACCATCAGCCAACATTTATCTGCCTGTCTGTCTTTACAACCCCCCCCCCCACACACACACAGCCTCTGCCTAGGGAGCAGCTGACATCATTCTCCTCTCCCAACTGAAAATTCCAACTGCCTTGCGGGGGGGGGGTGAGTTTGAGTTGTGGAATGGAGTGTAGTCCAATCAGCTTCCGTATGTAAATGACCTTGGAACGCTGGCCGGGACTGCACAAAGCAGCCAATGAACCCAGCCAGTGTCTTCCGAGTGGCAGTTTTTTCGGCCTAACACTAAAGGGGCCAATTTTAGAATTCTGGCACCCAAAACTTTTATAATAAGGGAGAGAATCCTTAAGTAAACATACATTGAGTGTGACCTCAAAATATATTTTTCCCCTGTAGCTTTCCTATCGTTACACAAGCAGCAATGAAACTCTTCTTACTACCACAATTTTTGACAGCATAGCTGCAGTGAAAAATCTGATGCCTGGAACAGATTATATCTTTCAACTCAAGACTATTAAAAGAAACGATTTCAGTGTGGCTGTGGAGAAAAAAGTCACCACAAGTATGTGTGATCCATTCTATGTAATTTTTTGTGTGAAACAGTACAGTGTAAATCAGAAGTTCTCAACCTTTTTGAACCTGTGGGCACATTTGGAATTCTGACATAGCACCCTGGGCACAGCAGCAAAATGGGGAGCGGAGCCAGCCAAAAATGATTTCCACCGTTTAACTTCAGTAACACAGTGTAAATCCTTGTTCTGTGGTGGCAGCTGCTGCCAAGGCAACTTTTTAAAAAATCTGCACAGATTTTAAAAAATGTGTTGGGGACCCCTGGGGTAAATGCATTTAGCCTTGTTAAAAATGGACATCATTGTGGGGAATATTAAAATTAAATGGAAACCATGGGCAAAAATACAACTTTTATACAAGCCTGCCTGTGTTAATTAAATTGAGCAAGCCACTTATTTTATTTATTTATTTATTTATTTATTTATTCAATGTATACCCTGCCCTCCCTGCGAACGGGCTCAGGGCGGCTATGGATACTCAAGTTTTTTTAAAGAATAGTTTATTGCATTTTGAATATAATTCTTGACTTGCCTGTTCTTAAGCAGATTTTCATCATACATAAGAACATAAGAGACGCCAATGTTGGATCAGGCCAAAGGCCCATCCAGTCCAACACTCTGTGTCACATAGTGGCCAGAAATACCAGTGCCATCAGGAGGTCCATCAGCAGGGCCAGAACCTCAGAAGCCCTCCCACTGTTGACCCCCCCCAGCACCAAGAAGACAGAGCATCACTTGCCCCAGAGCCCCTATCTATACCTTGCTATTAGCTAAACTTGTATGAAACCAAAACAAATGGAAGCAAATTCTAACAAATAGTCTTTCAGACTTCAGCCGTTCATGAATAAGATCCCGCCATGTAAATGGGCAAATCCTGCTGATAGTATTAGAATGTACATTCACCAAGGCAAATTGAACTAGGAATATGACTTCTGTCTTTTACTTATTCCTTATATCTGAAGAAGTGAGCAGTGACTCATGAAAGCTCATACCCTGCCACTTGTTAGTCTTTAAAGTGCTACTGGACTCTTGTTATTTTGCCTTGTCTGAATCATCCGGAGATCTGCTATGGAGATGTTTTTCTGTTATGTAAATGATCTGGAATATGATCATCTTGTCTTTGGAGTCTTCTATCTCAGTACAATTTACCTGGGGAACACACTGCCATGTGGAGAGTAACATAAGTGCATTAGGGCTTTTTTAAACTACCCATCACAGTACAGCCCCTTGCACCACCTGAAAAGACACTTCTAAATGTTGAGGTTCCTCTAGAGATTGATTTGGTGTGACACAAGGGGATGTCACTGTAATGGGTAGTGATGGGTGTCGGCCGCTGCGGCGGGACTGGCGCGACTCGCGCCGACTTCCTCGAGACCACCCACAGAGGAACGGGGTTCGGGAGCCGCGTTTGGGGGCCAGGGAGACCATGGTTCGAAACCCCGGAAGGGACGAGCTCGAGTGAAATTACGAGAACCTTTACCAGCCGTTGGTACGGAATCCAACGAGGAAGGCACCGAGCGAGCTGCTACCTCCCACGATCCTGAAACCGGGATACAGAGAGCAGGGATACAGAGAGAGACACACGTGAAACAGGAAAACACAACTAGAGAACGGGGTGGATGGGAAACACATGGGGAAGATTGTTATTTGTAGCAGATGTTGATTGTGAGACTAAATAAAGTGGAGAAACGGAAGGCACCAGGGAGGAAGCTGGTACGGATCGTGAGCAGCAAGAGAGAGAGAGGGCGTGCGCACGACCGAACAAACCAGGAACGGAAGCTGGTGTATGACCTTAATACACGGCCCGTTCGCATTCTGAGGTGCCAGTTTCGAAGCGGCAAGAGGTCTCACAACGGCAACCGGACATTCGGGTCTAGGGAGGAACGCCAATCGCGACAATGGGTTTTGGCCACTGTGTGACAGAGTGTTGGACTAGATGGGCCATTGGCCTGATCCAACATTGGCTTCTCTTATGCTCTTATGTTATGTTCTTAGGATTGACTGATTTGATCTCCTTGCAGTCCAAGGGACTCTCAAGAGTCTTATGTTTGTCTCTAAAAATAAAAAATTACATAAAAAAGAGTTTTCTCCAGCACCATAATTCGAAAACATCTAATCTTCGGTGCTCGGCCTTCCTGTGGCCACTGTTGCGTTTTCCAAATTTGCTGGCATATTGAGTGCAGCACTTCAACAGCATCATCTTTTAAGACTTTGAATAGCTCAGCTGCTTTGTCGTTAGTAATGCTTTCTAAGGCCCATTCACACTCCAGAATGTCTGGCTCCAGGTCTGTGATCACATCATTGTGGTTGTCAAGGACATTTAGATCTTTCTTGTATAGTTCTTCTGTGTATTCTTGCCACCTCTTTCTAATCTCTTCTGCTTCTGTTAGGTCTCTACCATTTTTGTCCTTTATCATGGCCAGCTTTGCACAGAACGTTCCCTTGATTTCTCCAGTTTACTTTAAGAGACCTCCAATGTTCCCACTAAGCTGTGGAGTCTTGTGAGCAAAAATTCTACTTTGTGAGCTACTGGCATTAAAGTTGTGAGTGAGCGATTTGGCTACTGCATCAATTAGTTTGCTCTGGAGCCATCCTTCCTGAGCTCACACAAAAATGTGTGAGCTGGAGGCTAAAAAACTGTGAGCTAGCTCACACTAACTCAGCTTAGAGGGAACACTGGAGACCTCTAGTTCTTCTCATTCTATTATTTATTGACTGTATAGAGCTTCTCCATCTTTGACTGCAAATGATATAATCAATCTGATTTCGGTGATGTCCATGTGTAGGTTGTTGGAAGGGGGGTTGGAAGTAGGTTGTTGGAAGGGGGTGTTTGCTATTAATGGAATAAAAGATTTGTGGACTAGTAACTTTTATTCCATTAATATTCGCAGCAAATGCATTCAAAATATGAACATATCCTGATTAAGTCACCTATTATCCCTAACAGGTTTATTGAGATTTGTGCTACTTTTATGACAGTACTATATGATGCTTATTGTTTTCATTTATCAGATGTTTTAATGGGATTGAAGGATGATGACTTGTCCAAAGCTATGCAATAAATGTTAGATTTAAGCTAAGCTAAGATCTGAACTCAGTTCTCTCAGGTCCAAGTTCCGTGATGTATCTGCCATCAAGTGGTATTATGCATCTATTGCCAGACTGGTATAGTGGTTAAGTGTGTGGACTCTAATCTGAGAGAACAGGGTTTGATTTCCCACTTTTCCACTTGCAGCTGCTGGATGACCTTGGGCAAGCCATAGTTCTGTCAGTGCTGTTCTCTCAAGGACAGTTCTGGAAAGAGCTCTCTCAGTCCTACCTACCTCACAGGGTGTCTGTTGTGGGGAGGGGAAGGGAAAGGAGATTGTAAGACACTCTGAGACTCCGAGTGATGGGCGGGGTATAAATCCAATCTCTCTCCTCCTCCTCCTCCTCTTAAAATAATTTAATATCAACTTCACAGGTGTTGTAAGAACAGCTTGTATGTGCTCTTGCCATGAAAGATTTTTATTGAATCTATATTTGTTTTTCTACATATAATCAGTTGTATTTTTTCTCAACTTTTATCAGAACCTATGGGGATATGTGATCTAACATTAAAAGTGGTAAACAGTTCATCTGCTACATTAATCTGGAAACCAACTATGACCAACTTTACACATTATAAAGCATCTCTATCCAACAAAACATTCACAAAGGAGTACATTATTTTGGAAACTCAGACACATCACACCATTACAGATCTCACTGCTGGTGAGAGTTACAATTTCACATTGCAAAGAGTGAAAGGATCTATTGACGGTGAAGTTGCCTTTACTGAAATCAGTACAGGTTTGTAATTTTTTTTCCAGTTACTGTGTTTATGTATTTGTGTGCAGCTAGGTAATAATTTATTTACAGTTTATTTCGAGGGCTGAATCTTTAGCCCTGGAATTTATACACAAGGAGACTGGTTAATTTGTTTAAAACAACCATTACTATCAGGAAATGCTGCATTTGCAGGGTGAGATGGTTCTGCAAAAATTAGATCTGCATGCATATGCATTTATTTATTTGTATTCCACTTCTCTCACCAGTGGGGACTCAAGTAGCTTAGAACAGTGGTTTCTGATCTTTTTGGTATGGTGACCCAGTTCTCCCCTTTTCCATTTTTTCACAACAACAACCCTGTGAGGTAGGTTAGGTTGAGAGAAGGTGGCTGGCCCAAGGTCACCCAGGAAGCCTTGATAGTAGAGTAGGAAGTAGAACTTGTACTCCAGATCTCCTATTACATGACAATGGAGGAACCGGACCCATGTTTTAGAAGCAAAATTGTAGTTATATCTTATATACTGGCTCCTGCCCTCCCATTGCCAAGACTCGTCACCACTGCCTCTGCCACCAGCCCCACTGCGCTCCTTCTCCTGCAACATCCTTCCTCCATCACTGATGCTGGTGAGGCCAGCACATCTCCTGAATCCTCCAACCCTTGCAGCTGGTACTGGTCAACCCCACACAGCTCCTGCCCTCCAACACCCATGACACTGATGATGGTGAGCCCAGCATGGCTTCTGGCCCCTGCCACTGGGCCCACTGTGACTCTCAAGCAGTGTTCCCTCTAAGCACCACAGTTTTGTGAGTAGAAATTCTACCTCGTGAGCGAAAAAGCTAGTAGCATTAAAATTGTGAGCAAGTCTACATTTGACTACTCCATAAATTAGTTTTTGAGAAGATTATTTCTATAACCTTGTAAATATCTCAGAACGAATTCTTTTTAAACTATATTTAACTATATTTTAAGAATAAAACATTAAAAGAGAAAAGAGAATCAAGTCAGATTTTGTTACACAAAATGTTGGCCTTTGGAGAACAGGTCTACCTGCCCCTTTCCACTATATTGGTAGACCTGGCCTCAGAAGAACGGGTCTACCTGCCCCAGTCCACTATATTAGTAGACCTGGCCTTGGACCATTGCCCTGCGCTGACCCTTAGAAAACATACCAGCACTTTGGGGGGGGGGGGATCTTGAGGTCTGCTTTGGTTTTTTTGTGAAATATGACAACCAGCATTACAAATCAAGGCCCCGGTCACACGGGCCGGAAAATGCGGGGGGGAAGCGTGGTTGTTTGCCCCGGAACAAAGTAACGCACAGCAGCCCGATCAGACGTCCTGTTGAGGTCCCATGGTTAGGCTGTTAGGTGCCGATCACACGGCCAGTCAGCAGCACGGCAAAGATGCAGCATGGCGCGATCACACCGGCAATCGTGCTGCGGCGCTTCTGTGGCAAATGGGATTTTTTGTGTGTGTCACCGAAGTTTGCACATGTGCATGATTGTTTGTGTGCATCCTGTGGAGACTTAAAAAAAAACAACCATCCGGTTTGCAACGGGACATGGGCGGGCGCCGGATGCCATGGGTTTCCAGTGGAAACATGATCAGATGCCCGCCCTTGCCCCGCGTTTTCCAGAAACTAGTACATTGTATGTGGTGGTTTTTTACTCCGCATCTTCGGCAACAAGCCACGGGTTAGCCACGGGTGCACTATGCTTCCCAGATGTTGTGGTGTGATCGCGCCCGGAAAATCCGCCTATCATCCATGTCTTCAGCGTGAACGGGGCCCAAGTATAACAGAGATGGAACAATCAATGTCAGAACGCTGCCTAACCTAACAAACAGGAAGTTACTTAAATGTTATCAACCTGCCCAAACTACTTATTTTTTCAGATATTTATATCCTACTTTTCCCTGTGACTCAAGACAGCTTACAAATCATATTGAAAAGCATAATAGGGGTGTAGCTTATGGGGACTGTTATAGTATCTGGGGCTCTGAGTTAGAGGCACCCAATTGGAGCATAGCTACTGGTGCCTCTTCTCAAAAAAACCCTCCAAAGATTCAAGAAGATTGGACCAAGGGGTCCAATTCTATGAGCCCCAGAAGGAGGTGCCCCCATCCTCCATTGTTTCCTATGGAAGCTTGGTTGTGAGCGGAACAGAAATCCTCTAAGCTGGCCTCTGAAATCTGGGCCAGCACCTTCTAGTGCAGCTTAGAGGGAACTGTGCTCTCAAGCCTCCTTCACCCCTGTAGTTGCTGCCAGCAATGCCAGTGCAGCACCCAGCCTCCCTCACCTGGCCTGCTGTGGCTCCAGCCCCCAAATCACCACTGACTCTATGATGACAGATGTAGGTGCATTGTCTCCTCATGCACAGACAACATTTTTGTTTGGGAGGGATTTATATTCCCATTGTAATTTTTAACCATTTCAGATTTTTCTGCAACTCTTCCCCCCCCAAGTTTGTAGAAAGATCACATTTCACTCATTGTGAGCCCAGTCTACAGATTTAGATATCCAAAATCTACCCACACTTGAGAAATAGATATTTAGATGATGCCAAATTTGCTCCTGAGAAAGTAAGTACAGTCAGCTCATTTGACCAAGGGTTTCAAGTCTGATTACACTAAATTATTCCTGTATTATTTCACTATTTTTAATTAAATCTACTTTAATTCTAGATTTAAGATTATCCCTGTTCAGTTATTATTCCTAAGTTTTATTCTTAGCCTTGACTGATGTTTTTGGAAATGGTGGCCGGCTCTGCTGTAAGCTCTCTAGACGCAGTTCCAGGCTTGACTGACATGACAGAAGTTCCCTTCAAAGTAGCATGTGAAACAGGGAGCTGATGTTTATCCCCCAGATACCATATCTGATGAATTCTGTCATAAATGGAATGGGGGAATATTGTGGGAACAAGAAGCTGCTTTTTGAGGTAAATGCCACTCAAACTAATGAGAGTTTATCTTGAGAAATAGCGTTATTTTTAGTCTTTTTTTCTACCAACACTAAGTCTCAAACTAGATGTTAAAAATTCTATAATTCTCTGGACTTTCATTCCCTGCAGTCACACAGGAACTGTAGGGAACTGAATTTTAAAGAGCTGCAAGGTCCAATTCTGACCAGACCATGGTGTTTGTATGGGGAGTGGCTCTGCCTTCCTCCGTGCTGTTTTCCTGAGCCAAAGTAGTCCTGAGGACATTATTGACCCCAGATTCCCCAGAGTAATTTCAGCTGGGGAACATGGCGTTATAAGAAGGCAGGAGTCCCTCTGCTTTTGTTGTCCTGAGCAGAGTTTGGTCCCTGAAGCTCTTTAAAAGGCAGTTCCTTACAACTCTTGTGTGACTGTGGGAAACAAGATTTTGGTCTGGGTTTCCTGTCTGATAAAATTCGTGCTATCTAGTTTGAATCTGAGAACTCATTAAAAGAAGATTTGTTGACTATAGGGAAATATAGCAAAATATATAAATGAAATTACCTGAACTTCTACTACTTCTATGTCATGGGATTGGTTTTGCATTTTTTTATTAACATTTTATAAGTTTTGTCTATGTTTGAGCATATTTGGTAGATCTAAATTGTGGATATCTGTTCTAAAACATTGTTCCCCTTGTGATTTTAGAAATAGGTGGTAAAGAGGTATAACACAAACATGTGTGCATAAATGTGTGAAAATATAATCTCTAATGTTTATTTGTATGCTATCTCACCAGATTTGCTTGAAGTGTCTCACAGCAATAAAATAAAGCCAAGCAGATGATAAAAACAATTCACATAACTATAACATGCCAATAAAGCAGCAAATAAAAACAGTCAGAGCATAAAAGCACATTGTCCCAGTTCCCCTGTCCTGGGACGAGATCCCCCACCCCCGGGGACACACCTGCACCACATCTCACCCCAACAACAGCTGAGGAACAGGGAAGGGATGGATCCGCAGCCCCCGAAGGAAGCGGGGCCCAACAGCTCGGCTCCCAGCAGCTTGCGCGCAGATCGCAACGCTGGCAGGGCAAGACCCTCTCAGCGAGCACCACGCCGAACCCACCTGGGCCGCCGGCTCACCTGCAACCACACCCCAGACGCCCAGGGAGCCTCTGTGATTATAAACTAGAGCGGGGCCAAGCTGGGAGGAGGGGAGGCGGGGATGAGGGGCGGTACCGGGACTGGAGAGGGCAAATAAAAGAGGAGCATTTTGGAAGGACCGGGGAGGAACAATGTGTGAGGGAGCGAAACTGCTAAGGACGGCTAGAGAGAAGAGGGAGAGCAGTATCCCGCACACGGGACAGAGGGACAAAAGGGGTGCTGTTAACCCCGTCTCCTGCCTATCTGAGGTCCTGGCTAAGCTCCCTTTTGCAGACCTCCTCCGACCTCCTCCGACTCCTGGCATTGCCTCACCCGTCGGAAAGCCAGGGTTCCCCCCCCCCGAGCCCCCAGGAAAAGCGCGTCACACACATACAACTGTGCAGTCTGGAATAATATTGATAAAGCAATTTTCAGAATCAAAGCAGATCACATAATGGCTAACCCCCACACACACCCAGAATTCTTTAGGTAAAAGCCTAGGGATAGGCAAATGTTTTTGACTGGTGCCTAGTGGCAAATAAGTCACAGGCACAATTTTCCTAATGCAGATTTGGTATGGTAAGTTTTGACAGTGCTGATCACATGTTTGGGAAGGGGAACTGAACACAGGCTCCCTTCTCCTTCAGAAGATAGAGTCTGTCAAAATTGACAGCACTGTTCAAAGGTTCAGCAACAGGACATAAGGCCTGTTGATGGACATGGATATCTGTTAGGATCCTGGTTATTTTCAAGCCTGATTTTTTGTACATAATCCATTTAAATTGAAGGAATAATGATAAAATTCTCTTTTAAGTGCCTGAAAAGCCAGAGGAACTAGAAGTCATCAATGTGTCATCACATTCCTTTTCTCTGCGTTGGAGACTACCTCATGGAATTGTGCAAAAGTTTCATGTGGATCTCACACCTTCTCATGGCTTTGTCTCTGTCCTAGATGTGGGAGGTGGGGAGTATCAGGTATGTGAGGGCTTTTTAAAATAGTGCTTGGATGGTCAGGGATTATTTATGTACTACGGTAATAGGAAAATTGGCCAAGCATGACGTTCTCATTTTAAGCTTTTAAACATAGATGAGAATGCAAAAGTACACATGCCAAATTTGTGAGAGCAAATTTCAACATCTGTGGTTTGTTGCCTTAACAACAGTTATGATACTTTTACAAAGTCTGCCATAGACCTCTAGCCAGTCATTTAAGGGTTCATGAATAGTTTAACAAAGGCAGGGCAGAGCTATTGAGTAATACAGGTTCATTAATTGTGTACTTGCCAGGAAGATCTAGCCTTAAATCATTAATGCAGGCAACATTTCACTGTTAAGCCATCACAAAGTTGTAGCAGCACTGTTGATTCCAGTGTTTGAAAATAATATTATAATTATCATGGGTTTTCATGGTTTTTTGCTTCTCTTTTTTATTGGAACTGCAAAGGCACAGGTACTTTGTATGAATGTTGGCTATTGGTTGTTATGGATTGTGTTGCACAGGGTAAGGCAGAGTCAAAGAGTTTTTCTAGGATTTCTGAGCAGAAATGAGCAGAATAGAGTTTTAATGGTGGGATACTAATATGGGAACTCTGTAAATCCAGTACAGTAATAGACAGAGCCTCTTGCTTTTTGAGTGTTGTTGTTTTTGACTAATACGAATGTAAAGAACAAACAAAAGTGTGATTTGTATTGTATGATCTGGTAGCCATTGAAATTTATTTTATGCTTGCTTTTGTTTCCATTCAAATTGGGAGAAGTAGCTCTAATGCGTTTAATTCCATGTTCTAGGCTGATATTTCAAACACCACTCCTGGAACATTGTATAATGTGACAGTTTCTTCAGTTTCCTCTTCAGCATATAGTTCACCTGTCAGCAGAACAGTGACAACCAATGTAACCAGTGAGTTTGAGATGATATTGCATTTCACTGTTTTCCTTGAAATGTCCTGTTGATACTTTTTAAAAATGTAATGTGCTATTTTGCCGGTTTCAATATATCAGTGGAAGTCCACTTCCACAGAATAATGTAGATCTATAGTGCAGAAGCCAGATGTTATGAATCTTTAATGTGTTTTAAAAACTAAACGCAACAGGTCTATTTTGACTGTGAATATTTCAGCATTCCATTTTTTGAATTCTTATAGAAAGAATGTACCTGGTACTCCAAAAGGCATTTAACCTTTCATAACAATTCTAAAGAAAGCCAACTTCACAAGCTGCACTTTGATGTTTAAGAACTCAAAAAGACCTTTTCTGTCAGAGCAGCTATTACAAAGTAGCTGTGATAGAATACAATTTAATTAAAGGATGTCTTTGTGCAGATCCAGGACCTCCTGTGTTCCTTGCGGGAGAACGAGTAGGATCTGCAGGAATTCTTCTCTCTTGGAACACACCACCACATCCAAATGGAAGGATCATATCCTACATTGTTAAATATAAGGAGGTATGCCCTTGGCTGCAGAACACTTACACTCAAGTTACAACAAAGCCAGATAGTTTGGAAGTTCTCCTCACTAATCTTAACCCTGGAACAACTTATGAAATTCAGGTAACACTTTTAATCTTCTAATTACTTGTAAACTTCAAAGTAAAAATATAGGATTTAATAATTAGCTCAAGTTAACTCCAGTTTTGAATCACATAATTTTTTTAAAGGATTTCAAAAATCCTTTGACACACTCTCAAACTATTGAAGACTTTACTTTGTGGTATAACTTGTAATACAAATTAGTTGAAAATAGTAATTGCTTTCATTTTTTTCAAGATTAAAACAGCAGTGCAACCTTATTTGCACTGATGATGTATTAATATCTTGCCATAGTTAACAGTATTACTAGGCTTTGTGGTTTGAAGTTATGGACTACTTTGATTCTTAGATATATAGCTGTCTCATTTGATGATGAGTAATGAATGACCAGGAGTGAAATGATAAGAAGTAAAATAGAATAATAATGCTTTGTTAGACACTTCTTTTATACAGATCAGGTGTCTCGGTAAACAAAAACGGTGTATATTATTATGCTTACATGTGCTTCCATTTTATGCAACACTAGTTTAAGAAAAGTCCACAAGTCTTAGATGTTTAAAAAGTTTTTCATATTTAAGATATACTTCCTACAAAATTTGGCAATAGTTGTAGAGTTGAGTTATATTGATCACTGTGTAAAATAGCTTGAATTTGAATCTTATATTGATGTAAATAATCCTGCATATATAATGTTGATTGATGGTGAGTTTTGGTTTCCAGATAAAGGCTCGCACGCTATCGGCAAAGCCGATTGAGCGCGCGGGCCGCTTTGTCCCCGGGAGGAAATGGGAGATTGACAGCTGCGCTGAGATGCAGCGTGTCTTGGCACTGGGGTGGGTGGGACCGGCCTTTATAGGCTCGGCCCCGTTCCCGCTCCTCTCAGTTGCGTCTTGTGCTCAGAATGCGCTGTTCCGAGCATGCTAGGGAGTAGGCCTAATTAGGCCTAGAAAGCAGTGGCGCGGCGTCAGCGGCAGGCAAATCGGTGGCTGCCCGAGGCGTCGGCGGCACTGGGCTAGAGGCGGCAGCCTTGGCGAGCGAGGCAGTGGCCGTGGGAATCCTGTGGTGGTGGCTGCAGGCGACGAGTGGCGGTCGCAGAAGATGAGGCAGCCGAGGGCGAACAGGCAGAGAAGGCATCAGTGCCAAAGCGGCTGCTGTCAGGCAGTCTGTGGTGGCTAGCGCCGAGCACCCTACTAGGCATGGTTCCAGGGGGCTCAGCTGCCATTTGATTTGTGGTCACCTGATCCTTTCCCCCCAACCTCCCCCAACGTCTTAGATAGCCACCTGCGGGGGCTGGAGTAGCCCACTGTAGTTCTAAGGGTCCCCACCCCTTTTTGGCTTTTGAAGTCCTTAGGGGGCCCAAGTAGGTGAATTGCAGGCATAGGGGCTGGATTACGTGGCTAGGTGGAGCTGGCCTTGTTAGGGTGGCAGTTTGGTGCAGGGCAGGGAACGGCTGGGGCCACCCCTACAGGTCTTGGGGGTAATGACCTGGGCCTGCTGAAGGGCAATTCAGGCCAAGGCTGACCTCGCCACCATTAAAGCAAGGTGGCCTGGAACGCAAATTGTGCGGTCGGCAATCTTGCCGCGTCGTGTTTGGCGTGGCCTTGGGAACCTCCGGGGTTTGGTCAGGGCCCGGAAGAAAGTGAACCAACATATGGAGAAGGCCCTGGAGGGGGGTTTGGGTAGGTTTCTCCCTCATCCTGGCATCTGGGTCGAGCTTGACCTATACAGGGATGATGGCATACATTTGTCGAACAAGGGCAATGACATATTCCTGGAGGAATTGCTGCAAGGGATTAGGGCAGCCTTGGGCTGTTAGGTGGCCGCGGCGGCCAAAGCAGAAGCTTGGCCTTGCCTGTGGCAGAGTAGGGTGGGAAAGAATGCAGAACCGGTAATCACTTTCAGCCAGTTCCGGTTGGGGACCAGGGGGTCATCAGGAACGGCTCCAGGGCTGTAGGGTTTAAGGCTGGGAATGGTGACCACCAGTGTTCCCTCTAAGGTGAGTTAGTGTGAGCTAGCTCACAATTCTTTAGCTTCCGGCTCACACATTTTTGTCTTCGCTCAGGAAGGATGGCTCCAGAGCAAACTCATTTATGCAGGAGCCAAATCGCTCGCTCACAACTTTAATACCAGTAGCTCACAAAGTCGAATTTTTGCTCACAAGACTCCCCAGCTTAGAGGGAGCATTGGTGACCACCTCAGTGAGCCTCTTGGGTAAGCTCCTCTTTGAGGCTGTAGGGCTTCAGGGGTAGGCGCTCCTGGGGTGTGACCTGTGCACTGGGCTGCCGGTCACGGGCCAGAGACTTGGCCCTAGACTGGGGCTAGTGACTTGCCCATACATGTGGGCAAGGAGTTTGGCTGGAGTGACACCTGCCTGGCCTGTTCTGCTCCCACTTAGTTCCCTTGCTGTGGATTTATTATGCAAAATAAATAGTTAATAAGGTGGCCCTTGTTTGAATCCAAACAGTTGTCTGTCTCATTATTACCGGCTCAGGGGACAAAATGTGATCTTATTTTCTTTCATATTTTAATAAATAAGTCCTACACAAATCCTTCAGGTTATTTCTTATTGATTGTTGTTTCTTTCTGTCTTCCTTCTTCCCTCATCAACTTTTATTCCAACTGTCCATTTGATTTTACTTTTCTGGGTTTCTCATTTTTAATCATTAAACTTAGATGGGTCGGATCCCAGACCACAAGGCTGGATCCAAAGGTGCTCATCTTCCAGGGAAAGGGCTGAGATACATCATTATCATTTACAAGATGTTTCATGTATTCCTCCATGTATTCCTTATATAACATGTCATTAAAAGGACAGAAACGAACCTTTTCCATTGGAACATTCATACACTGTGAAAGTTTAAAGTTACAAAACTTCATTGTATCTTCATTCTAGCCACTGTAAAGATCAAAGGTTAAGTTTTGCAATTTGTTTTCCTCAGCTCATAGCAATTTCTGTCTTTTGTAATACTCTTGTGCTTAGTTTTCAAATATATATCATTTGTTTCAACAACATTGTTTTTTTATTGGATTGTTTCATCACAGTAGACTCTATTGTATTGGGGCTTTTTAATGTGTTCACAGTCCCGAAATGCTGTACATATAGTATGGTGGTGGAGCATTGAGCACCTGCCCTATTGTATAGCTTGTGTGAGGCATGGGCTTACATGTATACATCTGCATATCCTGCAGCCTACTGACCCTCATGCCTACTGGTCCAAGTGGGCCCTGCATCCCTGCAAATAAACATTCCCCGTGTCAGAAATGGGTGCTTTAGGGAAGGGAACACAGGACAGATCTGTAGTCCTTGCATCTGTAACTCACTAAATCCAACCCAGTGATCTCTAAAAACTGTGTCCCTAATACTATGCAGAAATATAGAATTAGCAATGATGCAATGTCAAATTCATTGTATGGTCAGTGACTACAGAGAAGTGAATGTAGATGTGGCCATGAAATAAGATTTATCTTGCCATGAGATAAGATTTATCAGTTGCCACTATGTAACTACTGTGTGGCTGAATGCTTCACTTTATTTCAGTTTAATTCTGCGCTCTAATTGAATTAAGCTGATGTGAGAGAATACATGGAATTGTGACGCCACCACACTTGTTGCCCTTTTGTATTTGTATGTGTATGTAATCTTGCTTCTTAATCGGTCTTTTCCCCTGAACTAACACTCTTGTTGTAATAACTGTGTTCTTTGTTCACATGAAAGCCTATCCTACCTCTGATCTTTTTCTCACTTCTTTTGGATACTATCCTTTTGGTATTCCCTTTTTGAAATGAGGTGACCCCCCCAAAAAAAAACCCTGAAAAAACCTGAAGTAAATTCAAGGTGAGTGCATATTACTTTATATAAAAACTCACCATTATATTGTTATTTTTATTAAACTTTAACATTGCTATTTTCCCATGAATTTAGTTTTCAATGCAAGTCCAAAAATGAATTTAGTATACAGCTTTTTAGTCTCTGAGTTTTTATATTATATTACCAGGCATTTATACTCTGCTTTTCACATGATTTGCCTAAGCATTGGTCAGAAACATAGCAAATCCTTTTTGTTTGGGCTGGATTTTGGTCTTCAGAGTTAAACTTAAAAGAGTTGTGATTTTGCCATATACTTCCACTATCCATATCTCCATTTCACTGAAACAAAAAACTGTGGAACATAATTAGGGTGCTTTTTTATAGCTCCCCTTCATTATAACAGTAGTTGTACAGGAGTAGTTTCCAATGGATTGTGTACAGTGTTATTGTAAAATGTTCTGAGCTCTCAAAAATGTATAGAACACTTATAAATATTATGAATATCACTAATTGTTAGCTTAAAAGTGTTTTTCTGATATTACTGTTTTGGTTTATTGCAGGTTGCTGCTGAAAACAGTGCCGGTATTGGAGTATTTAGTGATCCATTTCTATTTCAAACTGCAGAAAGTGGTAAGTTGATGTACTGTTTTTACTTACTAATCATTTAAAAAGATTGAAGAGTACACATGACATTATGGAAGGCACTATAGAACCTATTTTTAATTGAAGATTTTGCTATTTAATGAAGTGTTCCCAAATCCTAATCCTTTTCTTTGAATGCTGAAAATACTGACATTCTTATGTTTTTGAGAGAAAAGGCTTTCTTGAAGTTGTTTTGCATGTATGGATGGGGAACCATATTCCCACACACCAGTTATGCTCCTCAGACAACCTTCTCCTTGTGTTGCCTTCTCATAGGACTGTCCATGCAGCAACAAGTAGGTCAAAGGCTGGCTCTGATAGGTGCCGTCCTCCGAAATGGCCTACTAGAGTGGGTACGGAGGGCGTCTTTCCAGGCTGCATTTAGGATGTTGTGCAAGACAGATCTGTTTCAGAAGGCATTACAAGAAGGGTAGATTGTCACAGCAGATTTTGCTGTGTGTTTTTAATTCTCTGTAGATTTTTAAAACTGTACATTATATTTTTATATGTTACTGTACTTTTATATTCGGTGTTCTGTAACTTGTAGTTGCACTGTTAGCCATGTTGAATTCAAGAAAACAAGGTGGGCTATTCCATCCCACCAAGGAACTACTTAACCTCCTGTAAATATATGTTATAAAGCTGCATAGTTAATACATAGAATAAAGGTTGTTTGGCTTATCCATATAAACATGATGTGGAGCTAAGGTAGTTTTGATGGTGAACATACTAGTCCTCCCTTTTATTGTTAAATAGCATTGACTGTTGTAATAATACAGTTTCAAAGAAACTACTATCTGCTGTAGGCAGAGAAAAAATGTTTGTGCTACCATCACATTGTCCATTTGTTATTAGCTTCCATGGCCAGAATCCTCAAGTAACTATTGCCCAGTCCTACCGCCTGCTGTAATGGCAAATAAATGGCTCCTTTCAAAAAGCCTTATAATCTGTTTTAGCAGCCGGTGGCTAACAGATTTTTTGTGTCGTTTCAGACACAACCATTTTGGCTTCTGGCGTTAACGGATGTTTTTCATCCTTTTCAAACAAAGCCACTTGTGTCCTGTTTGCAAAGCAGAGCTGAGCCGTTTTTGAAAACTGCTTTCTTCTGTTTTCAGGTTTGCTTAGCACTTCTGAATCACTGTGGAGTGGATTTGAAATGTCTGAGACACTTCTAAAAGTGCTGCTCCCCCCCACCCTTTTTCATAGCACTTTCCCCCTTTTTCTTTTGAACATTCCAGTTTTTGTGCTATAATGCTAGACCAATATAGCAATTCAATGCTATATTACCAGCATCCAAGATATGGCAATATAGGACTGAATTTCTATACTGGTCTAGCACTGTAGCAGAAAAGTTTGAAAGTAAAAAAAAGATGGAAAAGAACGCACTGCCAAAAAGAGGGGAAAGTAGTGCAGTTGAAATAGACAGAGCATGTCAGACATGGCTCATTAACATATTTAAATACACTGTATGAGACCTCTGCCCCAATGTCGCTTTATATGGAACTGGGCCAACAATGAATAGCAAATGTGTCACCTGAATCAGAAATGCATCAGCAGTGTGGGTATATACCACTACTGCAGAAACATACAACATAGCTAGATGACATAGCTTTTGTTTAACATAAAAATAGGCAAAAGTGTCACAGCTAGGACTGCACACTTTATACTGCTAAGGAAGCAGCCACAGCTGCACAATTCTGCACACCTGATATGTTGCAATAGGTTGTTAGCATGCTTGAAAAGCCTCTGTATGCAATATTATAGGATTGGGATGTTTGGACAAAACAAATATCTAAAGATTATGTCAGTCATATTTTATATCTATATCAGAAGGTGGAATAATGAACTAGTTTCTTTCTGAAGCCTTTTAAAGTCAATATTCATTTAACCATGTATCAAATGTATTCCTTACTAAGTTTTGGTTTTCACTTTTTTTAAAGCTCCAGGTAAAGTGGTGAATCTCACAGTTGAAGCTTTCAACCACTCAGCGGTTAATCTGATTTGGTTTCTGCCACGGCAACCAAATGGAAAAATAACTTCTTTCAAAATTAGCGTGAAGCATGCTAGAAGTGGAATAGTAGTGAAAGATGTCTCTGTTAAAGTGGAGGACCTCCTGTCTGGAAGATTACCAGAATGCAATGTAAGTCATATAACATATTTTGGTTAGAGAGGGACGTGTTGGATCATGTGAACCCAGGCCTCTAATGGCAGATTTGTGCTCTAGTGCAAAGTGCTCTGGCAAAAGAGATATATTCACCAAAGGAAGCCTCCTTGTGCTAGAGGAAGTTTCTGCAGCTACTAGAATGGATTCATAGTAACTGTCTCAAGGACTTAACATCTTGGTTTCAATATGGCCTAAGAAAACTTTCTATTATAAGAGTAAGCTTCATGTCATATAATGTGGAGGACTCTACTAGTTAAAGATTTGATTCTGTTCCAGCTTCTGCAGATAATTTGTGTAAACTGTGCACCTATTAAATGTTCGCTAGAGTTGTCAGTGCTACAAAATATAGCTACAGTCCAGAGGGTATTTATTTACTACATTATTTATAAACTATTTTTCTATTTAAAAATTAACACTCAAAGTAGCACACAGTATTAAAATTCATACAAAAGAGTTAAAATATCAGCTATTAAAATACAATATTTTTAAAAAAGATCTTCTGAAATAAAAAAAAACCCTATTAGCTGATGCTAGAAGGTCTCTAAAGGAGGAAGTATCTGCAGTACAGGAAGGACCAAGGAGCAGAGATGGCTGCCAGGAAAGCCCTCATTTGGGTTCACATCAGTTGGTTTTCTTTGATGGGGGTTCTCACTTTCCCTGTTCAGGAGCCAGGGCATCTAACACTCCTTCTTGTCCTGGTTGTGCACACATCTTTAAAGATGGCACGGCAAGCTGCAAGCGTATGGTAAGTCCTGTAGGGCATGCACATCTTGCCTCACTGTCTTTAAGGATGCCTGGAGCATTACCTCCATAGGAAAAGGAGTATTAGCTGCTTCTGTTCCTGGATATGGGGTGGGTAATTAGTAGAAGGGGGGAAGTGGGCTGGGGGCATGGGGGGATAGTGAAGGCAGCGTGAGGGGGAGCCTCCACCTCCAAAATCTGCTGGCTCAGGCTAGTACCTTGCTTAACCTCACTGTGGAGTGGCTACCCCTAGATCATGCATATTGCTGGAGAATGGTTGAAAACTACTCATATATTTGAAATCTGTTGGAAAGCTAAATACTATGCGATAAGAATGAAAGTAGTGGTTAGGGACGGGCATGAACCAACCAGCTCATGAACTAAAGTTCATCATGAATTTTGGGTGGTTTGTAGTTCATGAAATTCAACTGGCACAAACTTTCCAGCTGTTCATGGTAGTTCGTGGCAGTACATGAACAGATCTATTTCCAAGCAGACTGTCTCTTCTCAATCTACATGTTTACAAAACTTCAAAGTTTCATTGAGCGGCACTTGGAGGGCATGTTGAGGAGTATCCGGAGGAGGTCCCTTGCGATCTGGATGTCTCTAGCTAGCGCAGGATTTATTCTATACACTCCTGAATCTCCTGCAGTCGGTTTGACAGGCAGAGGTTAAAGAGTGTGTAGAAGGGATCGTGTGCAAGCTAGAGACACCAAATTCTCAGGGGATCTCTAGCTGACTCTCCTCTACCTGCCCTCCAAGTTTGGTGAAGATTGGTTTTTACAGTGTCCAAGTTATGACCTCCTGAAGAAGGTGCTCCCAGAAAAGTGTTTTCTGAGGAAATTACCACCTGTTATTTCCCCAGAAAACACTTTCTTGGGGGCACCTTCGTTGGGAGAAGGGATAATTTGGACCCCATAAATCCAATCCTTCCCAGACTTGGAGGGCAGGTAGAGGAGAGTCAGCCGACAATCCCCTGCAAGTTTGGTGTCTCTAGCACTCTGGTGGTGTGTTCTACTGTGTCACAAACCAAACCAGTTCATTTGTGGGTAAACGTTTGTGATGGTTCATGGTTTGCGAACTGGGCACACCATGAACTGAACTGCACCACATTTTCCTGGTTTGTGCCTAGTCCTAGTAGTGGTAACAGTATTAGTAGGAACAAGAGTTCTGTATGCCTAAAATGTATGAGTCCCAGTTATGTATGCAGATAGGGATTAATAATGAGGTTGTTCCAAACTCATCAGGACTAATATCTTCTACTTATAACACATATGATTTTAATGGTTGCCATTTAATATCTTGGTTTTATACTTCATCTGAAAGAATGTATTTGCAATACCCTAGAAGCTTCATGTATCGTCAGATTAGTTATGTACAGTTCTGCAACTATAAACTATGCTGATCAACAGTATTTAGTTCTATGTCTAATTTGCTGATTTATGTTAATTTTGGCAGACCTGGTTTATAAGTGCTAGATTTGAGAATGTTTAATTAGGAATGGTATTCTTGTTCTTTCAGGCAATATGCAGGTTCATAGTATTAAATTATAGTGCAGATTTGGAAGGTAAACACTAATTTGAGCTGTATTCTCTGATACATGAAATAGTATCCACACTTGAGTATAGTCAAAGTAAGAAGAAATTATTCCTATAATTAAACTTTTTGCTTTACATGGTAAGATTTGTACTTGTTCATATAGATTCTGATTTTTGCTGCCTGGTGCATTTTTTCAAAAATGTGGATGCTTTGTTTTGAATAATCCATCCATTGTTTTGAATTTTGAAGACCACGTTAAATTAATGTTAATATTGAGATACATGGGATAATTTTGTGTTGACAGGATAACAGTGAATCTTTCTTATGGAGTACTACTACTCCTTCAACTACTTCTAGCAAAACTACTCCATCAGTCCCAAGTACAGTTGCTCTCAGCAAACTGAGCTCTGTTTGGAATGAACCTATTAGTTTTGTTGTGACCAATCTCAGGCCATATACTACTTACCTTTTTGAAGTTTCTGCTGTTACCACAGAAGCAGGTTATATTGACAGTGCAATTGTCAGGACACCAGAATCAGGTATGTATTTTTTCATGGAGGAAAGTAATTTTGTCAGTGTCAAGTCAATAATATAAATAAGTGGGACCCACTTCTAAACTTGAAAAATTACTCTGTGCTACTTCCCCAACATAAAATGCAGGAATATCATGTGTGTTTACACTGAATAATTATACAGTCTCTTTTTCATGTTTAGTGTTTATAAATTTATAGTGTTACTGAGCTACAGGCTGTATTTCATAGTCATTTTGTATATATGCAGAGACAAACCCAAGCTGGCCATCAACTCACCTCAGGAAAAAAGTTCTCCAATAAAGCATTCTGTTGCTCCCCATGTCAATGTACCCATAACATTAGAACTAAGTAGACTATCATTGATGAACCTAATTTTCTCCTGTGATGAAGTTGGTATAATATATCTAGAATGCTGTCAGGCTTTTGATTTCTTCCCAGAGTCTATTTGCAAAATACAGACTAGAATGATAATTCATTATTTCCACTTGGTAAAAGTGGAATTATGGAAGACTGAATTATTTCCCTTCACTATGAATGAATCCTAATGTGCCTTTTGTGAAAATTCAGTACAGTTTCCCACATTCTAAAGATGGTGCCTGTGCACAGCCAGAAAAGGGAAACTGCATTTGACAGTTGGGGCTGCTCTGTAGCTTTGTGCATACAGCTCCCACAGCTTGGAAGGCCACCTGCTGTTGCCCCCCCCATCAGAATAAAGAGGCGGACACAAGAGTTGGGATTAACTAAAGGCCACTTTATTGGTTATTTACAACTACTGCAGCAAGGACATAACCTGGATGCTGACTTCAGGCAAGGCAGTGTCAGCTCTCCGACCACCTCTTTGCATTATGTTGAGCAAGAACCCCTGCCCTGAATGCAAGCCATGCCACCTGGCTCACCCCCAGCCAGCAAAGGTAACTAGAAGCCTGCAGAAGAGCCGCCTCAAAGGCAGACCCCATTCCCTACCCTGGTCCGTGAAGCCTGCAGGTGGATCATGATGGACCCCCTTTCCCCAAACAGGTTAGGTGTTCTCTGGTGCTCACCAGAGGCACATATATCCACCTTACCTCTTTCCACCAATCTGCCGCTGCCAGGGCCAAGCGTCTGCTTAGGACCCTGCATCCACTGGGCAGCCCAAGGCAGCCCACATCCCTTGCTGCAGGTCCTCTAAAAATATATCATTGGCCTTCTCAGACAGGTGCACAGGAAATCCCCATAATACAGGTCCTGCAGTCCTGCCCATATCCCAGGGTGTGGCAAAAAAGTCCCAACCCTCCATTCATGGCCCTACACAGCTCCCTATTCATCTTCTTCAGATCTCGGGCCATGCCTCCAGGGTCTCCAACCCTATGCCATTCCCTTCATGGCAGGATGGCAGACCACACCAACAGCATGCCATGTCACTGGCATCTGATGAGCTCCAAGTTGGCCTTGGCCTGCACTATGAGTGTCTCCCTTTCACCAGGCCAAAATTGTTCCCACCCAGGTGGACTTGCCACCTTACTCATTGGCAGTCTCCACAAATGTCTGCAGCAACTGGGCACATTGGCCTGTGCCCCAAGGGCCCACCAACAGGAAATCATCCAGGTAGTGGCCTGTGTCCTCCACACCCATCCTCTGCTGCAGCACCCATTCTAGGAAAATGCTAGGAACACTAGAAGGCAGAGCGGGAAATAGAACAACTCATGCGGATTGCACTATCGATGTAAAACTAATCCTCAAACACAAAGCCCAGGAGCTCAGGCTCAGTCAGATGTACTTCCAAGAGGTGGAAGGCCGACTTAATGTTGCACATCACCAGCTCTGCCCCCGCTCTACAGCGGTGCGTAATGTGCACTGCCTGGTTGAAGGATGTGTAGCGTACTGAGCATAAGTAGTTGGGTATCACATCATTCACCCAGTCCCTTTGGGTAGGATAGTTGGTGGATGAGGTGATACTGAACCAGGATCTTTTTGGGCACCACCCCCAGGGGAACACCCACCGGTTAGGTAAAAGGGGTGCCAGAAAGTGGTCGAGCACCCTGTTCTCCCAACACACCTTGGCTATCTTAGCCCAAAGCACAGGTTCCAATCCCCTGAGTGAGTGCAAATTGTCCACCCTAAAGGGCTTTTGCACGCCCTGGAAAGGGATACAAAACCCCACAGTAAAGTCCTCAAGTGAGTACGTCCAATTTGCACACCTGGGACATGCCCCAACCAGCTCCAGAGAACCAGCACTTTAATTGGACTGGGCATCACATCATTCACCAAGTCCCTTTGGGTAGGATAGTTGGTGGATGAGGTGATACTGAACCAGGATCTTTTTGGGCACCACCCCCAGGGGAACACCCACCGGTTAGGTAAAAGGGGTGCCAGAAAGTGGTCGAGCACCCTGTTCTCCCAACACACCTTGGCTATCTTAGCCCAAAGCACAGGTTCCAATCCCCTGAGTGAGTGCAAATTGTCCACCCTAAAGGGCTTTTGCACGCCCTGGAAAGGGATACAAAACCCCACAGTAAAGTCCTCAAGTGAGTACGCCCTATCCTGGGACATGCCCCAACCAGCTCCAGAGGACCAGCACTTTAATTGGACTGGGCCCCTTCTTCCAGGAGGGTGGTTACCTACTCCTCCCACTTGATCCTGTGCTGCCCCCAAAAGGCAGACCTGGACTTTCCCTTGAAATAGCCTGAGGCAGCGTGGGGGCCACCACACAATGGACACTTGTGCTTGTATTTGCAGGTCTTACACCCACACACCCCATTGGAGCTAAACTCCCAGCACAGCAAGTAGGGTTGAACTGCCTGCCCTGCTGAGGCTTGGAGACCCAAGCTACTGGAAAACCAGTGCATGAGATGCTCATTGTCCAACTGATTGCCCCCAATAGGCCGGACTGGCATAATCAGCTACATCCATAGTTGTGGATGAATCTGATCCCATTGCAAAGAAGGGTCCAGAATGGCCTTTATCCTGAACTCCTTGTTGTATTGCATCCACGTCGGGCCAGCAAAGTCAGTGTACCCCCTGTATATGATGTTCAAATACTGCCATAAATACTCCCCCTTCTCAGTGTGTGCCTGGTTCAACACCCTGGTATAGATCCAAGGTGATGACCCGAACCCAGCCACAGCTTGGATGTCCTTACCTCTATCTCCCCGCTGAGCTGGCCAGCAATGACCCTGTGCTCTGGCCAGGTTGCTGCCTCTGCATTGTTCCTTCGGACTCAGGCACCACATCCTGCAGCTGCTGGTCCACTGGCTGCTCCGAAGTGCTGGTGCCATCAGCACTCCTGCCTGCCAAAGTAGACAAATGACTTAGTATGGTCTCGAACAACCTTTTCTTAGTCACCTGCCTAGTTTGATGCCCAGCCCTGGCCACCTTAGCAGGCGTTGGAGGCCCCCGCTTGTCACACTCCAGGGCATCCACCTGGGCCAAGATCGCTTTCATGGTTAGATCTTCACCCTCATCATCCAAAGAGAGCCCAGGGGCAGCCAAGGTCCAAGCTGCTTGCCCTGTGTCCCCTTGCCCTTTCCTGGGTGCCATCTGCTGGCACTCCTCCCAGAGATGCTTTACTTGGGCTCCAGAAACAACACCCCAAGTGGCTAAGCCCTGGGACTGAGATGTGAGAGTGAGACGAGCCCCAAACTCAGTTCCCCCCCCCCCCCAAGCATTGGGAACAACAACAAAAATGGGAGGTGTACCCACTGGTATCAAGTTCCAGAGGCAACTGCCCCAGAACCCCCATCCAGAGAGGGGGAAAAAAACAAAAATGGGAGCAAGGGAGCCCAACTCCCCCTATGTCAAGTGCCACCCACCAAGTGTGGGGAGAGATCCCGCACAGGAAGGTGGAGCAAGCAACACCTGCAGCCCCCTAATCCAAGCAGAAACCCCCTTGTTAGCCCCTGAGATGGGCCGGGAACACCTCCGTTGGCCTGGGAAGGTGTAGCTGGAGGCCTTCACCAAAATGCCACTTGAGCCACTAAGAATGCCCTGGCCCAAGGACACACAACCCCAGACTGTGCAGGGTCACTGCAACCACTGAGGGAGCCCAGCCCAGCCCCCTGCAGAGGCCCTCAGAGAACTCTGTGGCAACCCCACCATGTGGGTGTGGCTGATGCCATGCTTCCCAATCCCAGGCTGCTCCCTGCAGTGTAGGCCACAGAGCTGGTCCACCATGGAGGCCAGTGGGCTGTTCAGCAGCACTGGCAGTGCAAGTTCACTGTGGTGCCAGCTGCAAAGCCACACCCTGGGGCAGAAGCCACCAGGCCACTCCATGGTGCAGCCTACCACATGCTTACAGCCCATCTGCTCTAAAGGCCACAGGTCTGCTTCACGGCACAGGCCGCACCTGACTGCCACGGCATTGGAGCCTCACCCCCTCAGTGCAGCTGACCTCATCCTCCGGCAGGGCCTGCCTTAGGCTGCAGACCTCTGAGCTGCCGCACCACCTCAATGCTTGCCTGCAAGCACAAGGCAAGAAGAGGAAGGGAGGAGCCGCCATTTATACCCAGCTGGCTCCTCCTCCCTTTTGCGGCACAATGCTTGGACACCTGCATCCCACGTCACTGTGTCCTCCTCCCATGTGGGGCAAAGGTAGCCCCCACCTGCAGGTGCTGGTCAGCTCCGCGGGTGGGGGAGTCGTGTTCATCTTAAAAAGAGTATTGTGTCTCCAGTTTTGGGAGCCACAGTAACAAAACCTAGAAATGCCTAGCTAAGCAAATGTTTCTCTTAATGCTTCCTCCCCTTTCACTGAGAAGATCTTCACATTGTGGCAGTGCAGTGCATTGTGCAACATAAGGAATTTCCATGAGATTATGTTTTGAGAAATAATTATTCCTTAAGTAGAATCACAGGCCTCTCTGACCTCTTTCAGAAGGTTAACATTCTAGAATAATGCATTTGTTGTAGCTAATGTCCTCATAGTTCATGTCAGAGAACAGCGAAGCAGTTGTCAGATAGCAGTCTACCTGCACTTTTTTCCAGTAGACAAGAGATTTATTTACATGCTTCAGCAGCTGCTCTCATTTTGACAACTAGCATAATATAAATTATTTTCTTTTTGCTTCTATGACCCACGCCTTTAAATAATTCCATGTTTGCATTAATCTTTGTAATATTTCAAGCAGCTAAAGCAGTTTGTCAGCTGTGCAAAAAGAACAGTATGGTAGGGATATTGATGACAAAGTAAACATTCAGGCAAATATTTGAGGTAATTCGAATTCATGGTAAAGATTATTTTTAAATAATAGTGGCTTTTAACATATTGGAACCAAATCAGTGGATCTATTTGCAATTTTTACAACAAAGAAGGGTTTTTGAGATATTCCAGTCTTACTTTAAAATAAAGTGAATTTGATTTGCTCAGCTACAATGGCTGAGGTACAAAATACTCTACACTGTAGGTTTGAATGACAGTGAGTTGGATCCAAGGAATTGTTAAACTAACAATAGCACTTTCATCTAGTACAAGAGGTTCTTCCACTGGTCCAAGGCTCCTTAGGCCAGAGACAGTTCTAGACTTAGTGGAAAGTAGGGTTGCCAGATTCCCCCTGGAGGGGGTGGGGTTGCCAGCTCTAGGTTGAGAAACCCTTGGAGATTTGGGGGTGGAGCCTTGGGAGGACAGAGACCTCAGTGGGCTACAATGCCATAGAGCACCCTTCAAAGCATCCATTTTTTTCTGGGGGAACTGATCTCTGTAGTCTGGAGACACGTTTTAAATCCAGGAGATCTCCTGGCCCCACCTGGAGGTTGCAATCAAAACAGAACTGTGTACAAAATAACTCACCAAAAATAATAAAAAGATAGCATTAATACAAAAAGAATATTTTATAGTCTCAAAACATCTAATCCATAATATAAGTATAAACATCCACCCAGCTGTATACAGCTGTAGCCACAATCTTCAGCGTTCACACAGAATACGCTTAAGCCTTGTTCTGTGTGGATGTTTGTACTTATATTATGGATTAGATGTTTTGGGACTGTAAAATATTCCTTTTGTATTAATGCTATCTTTTTGATTATTTTTGGGGAGTTATTTTGTACACAGTTTTGTTTTGATGGCTACTTCTCACTGTGTATCTCCGGTTGTTGTATTTTGATTCCCACCTGGAGGTTGGCATCCCTAGAAAAGTTCCATAGGACACAACCCTAAATATATTTGTAGTTTTTTTTTTCTATCCTGCCACTGTGCTTTTCTAGGTTATATTGTTCAATTATTTTATATTTATGAAAAGTCCTAAGACATTTATATAAATGAAGTAGCACTTGTGAGGAAATAAATATAGACTTTGGTACTTCAGGAACTTTATTTTTTGGTCTTACTAAAATTATCTTTACTTTAGTTCCAGAAGATCCACCTCAAAATTTTGTCAAAGGCAACATTACAGGAAAATCTTTCTCAGTTTCTTGGGAGCCACCAACCATCATTACTGGAAAGTTTAGCTACAGAGTTGAATTATATGGACCATTTGGTAAGTCAGTGTCAACATAATTCTGTTTACCTTTTTCTCTTTTCAACTTTTAAAAATTAGATTGGAAACAACCACAGTGTCTATAGTTGCCCTTTGAGTTAATGAAGTTATTTGACTGGATTTGAGAAATTTGTCCATTGTACCAATATTTGTGGTGAAAACTTTGGTATTTAATCTTAAATTAGCTGCATTTCCTTCAGCAGCAAAGAGAAATATGACAGCATGCCAGTTACTATGAAAAGAGTATGTGATGCTGTTGAAATAAGAAGTCTCAGTGTATACCTAGTGTCCCTGAATATAATCTACATGTTCTCATTTAGCACACATGTACACCCCAGTCGTCATCTGACTCCAGTTCTGACCTCCCATACCATCACTGTAGCATGGAGTCCTGCTCCACAATCCTCCTATACTACCTCATTCCCCATTTGCATGACAGAAAGAATAACTAAAAGAAATAATGAAGACACATTACAGCTAAATAAATAGGTATAATTAGCTTTTATTTTTTACAAATACTTGTAATAAAGCTTATTAAAAAACACTACAGCTTTTTCTTTCAATGCCCATTAAAAGTAGTTGAATAAATAGTATGTAGAACAAGTGTTTTAAAAGTGTTTGTTTGTTTGTTTCAGGTCATATTTTGGATAACAGCACAAAAGATCTCAAGTTTACTTTTAATAATCTAATACCATTTACAACATATGATGTTTTTGTTGCTGCTGAAACAAGTGCTGGGGTAGGTCCAAAGGCAAACCTCACTGTTTTCACTCCTGCAGGAGGTAAGTTCTCTTTTTGCTAATGAGCCAGATAATGCTTCATACATTATATTTATATTTGTCTTTGGACAGCCAGTTTGCAAATGCAACTAAAAAAGTAGGTGTATTTATATTTTAAATGTTAATTAGCACCTGGTTAACAAGTTGTCTATGGCCCACACAATTATCTCCCTTATATATAAAAGCCGAATGGTGGTGGCACTTCTCTAGAACATTCCACACGCTCCGGAATTGGTTGGTGCCCTGGTGTGTCACTCAGAATCTGTCCCTATCCACTGGCTGCTTTTTTAAAAAAAAAATTCCCGGAGGGATATTTTTTATTATTTTTATATAAGACTACAAAACTACAAAGAAAACATAAGGGAAGGGGACTACATCTAAGGATAAAGGATAGATAACCACACTATACTAAAACCCAAGAGGAGGAGATCATATCCGTGTTAATCTAAGTGTTATTAATAAAAGTGTTAGTACAACAATATACTTGTAGAGTTCTTGTTTGTCTCGGCTTCAATGTTAGTATGTTAGTTGTTGTGAGAGAACTTTCTGAGCATCTTCTTGTTATTTGCTTCAAAAGGAAATTTTCAGAGTCCTTCTGCCTTTACTTTGGTTTTCTGTCTCTGAAATCATAAGTAACTTTCATTGCGCCTGCACCCGTTTCTACAGCAGAGTCCTCATCCGTTCCAGAGGTAGCGGAGTCACTTGATTTCGATTCTTCCTCTTTGGATTCTTCCTCCGGTCCCAACTGACGTCTCAAAAATTCTTTGGCTTTAAAAATGGAGTCAATTCTTGCTGAGCAACTTCCTCAGATCCTCCTTTTCCGATTCAGGAACTCCCTGGAATCTGAGAATCATATTGGCTTTTTCCATTTGTAGCTGTAACAAACGGTTTTCTTGGAAGTTTTGTTTTGCTTCAACTTCCCCCATTCTTTTCTTCATTTTCTTATTTGTGGTGTCTATCTCTTTAATTATCTCAGTCGTATGCTCCACCTTCTTCACTGTTTCTGCCAGTTGGAGCTGCTTGGATGCGAAGTTTTGATTCAGGGAAGTCAGTTGCTGGTTAATACTATTGAGTTGTTCCATCACCGGCTTGAGCATATCCGCTAACATTTTCATGACGTCTGCTCCCTCTTCCGGTTTTGGGCTCTGACTACCCACTGGTTTTGTTTTAAACTTTCTTTGCGAGGCCGCCATTTTATACGATTGTTTACAATTCCAAACCGCTTCTTGCAGACTCGAAAAATCATCGCCACAATGTTAGCACTCAGGTAAGTCTCTCAAAACAAAATTGCTGCTTGTTTCCCCCCTGCCCCTTCGTTATGCTTATCTGTCCATTCACATAAGAGGTACCCCTCTTTGTGCTCCGCTTTTCCCACGGGTGGTGGTGGTGGTAATTCGCTTTTAAAATATTCCGTTTATTTTGAACTCACGTTCATTGTCGGTCATTTCTCTGACCTCGCTCACAGTAATCGATATTCCGCTCAATCTCCAGCACTTGTCCCAGTCGAATGAGCTTGTGCCCGAGGGCCACACAGCGGCGGGACCGTCAGGGCGGAGGGAAGCCTCAATTCTCCGGCATTGAACCGTCGAAGAGGCTGCCCCTCAAAAGCCCTCTGGCCTGGAGCCTATCGCAAAGGCTCCATGTGAGTGCTACTTGAGGTAGCACCCCTCCATACTGCTAGTGTATAGGCCGCTCCCCTGAGGTCTGGGGAGAACGACCACCATTGCTGATCCACAAACTGGAAATCTGAACAGCATACTCAAGATTGCTACAGCACAGACATTTTGATGCAATAATTCAGAACAAGAGGTGTCAGTTATCAGACACTTAAATAAACAAAATATTGCAAGAGTGCTAATGTTTTAAGCATGTCTTTATTTTAAGTTAAAAAAAGCCTTTGTGTTTGTGTCCTTTAAAAAGTTTATATCTCCGCTACCTGGCATTACATTTTATGACAGACGTGGCCCAGCCCAACAAGGTCTCATTTATGTCAGATCCAGCCCTCATAACAAATGAGTTTGACATTAAATCTTTGCAGTGCTACATTTGTAACACCAGAGACTAAGAAGTATGTTTAAATGTCACCTAGAAGCCAATATATCCATCATGCAATAGAATCTCACTCCCTTTTCACAAACATACCATTCCTATCAAAATTTCTGGACTTTTCCTGTACACCCCCCCCCCCAGCTGTTACAGGGTTGAAGTAGTTGGTTTGGTATGGTTGTTGTGAGAAAAACCTGCTATATCTTAAGAAATGAAAAAAGGAAGAAAAGAGTAGCAGGATAATTAACTCAGTTAAACAGGGCTAACAAATAAAACTAGATGACAAGTTTTAACAAGGTTTTTAAAGTTAAGACAGATCTCAAAATGCCCCAGCCGTCCCAGCCAGCACATACCATAACTAAGCTGAATACTGGGCTGCCGAAGATGTCAAAGGAGAAAGGCAATAAAGCAGATAAGACTAAACCAAACATTACAGTCTTCACAAGACCAAGAACACACAGCTGGGATGCTCCCCAGCCCAGTTGAGGAGCACATAAAATAAACACTTAAACACTCACACTGTACTCACAGAGCAAAGCAGAGTCAGGAGACTACTCCCTGCCTGACCGGCCATGCCCTCTCTTACTTCCCATTCTGGAAAAGAGGCTCTTTTTCTTAAGGGCAAAGGCACCCCATATGTTCTCAATAAGTACTCAACCACAAAGGTCTGCAGAAGTTGCTGCTGACAGGCTGTGTGCAAGTGCGAGGCAGTTTATCAGTTAATACATCCTTCAAAATCTCATCAAGAATGCCTCTCACCTTTCTGTTCTCCACTGTGATCAAACATTCGTCCATGCTTGGAATGTTTATTTACACACTCAAAAAGAGCCAACCACAATTTGGGGGAAGGGATATCAGCAACACAGCAGCTCCCCAACCCAACTGGAATGAGGGTTGCTGGGAGCATGGGGGCATGTTTACAACTGGCTGCCGAGCTGCTAAGCAGGAGGGTGGGGTGCCTACTCCTTGGAGCCAGTCTGAGAAGCTGTGCCCTAGTGGGTAAGACAGCTCTAGTCCTCCAGCGGCTATGACACTCTGGCCTTCCACTCTGTGGTAACATAGAGACTAGGAGGAAGGTAAGGCTACAGCGGTTGCCATTTTTCTCCCACTGCCTAATTTTTACAAAGCAGGGGGAGGGTTCTAAAATCAGGCAATCCCCTGCCCCCACTAGGGGGCTGACAGCCCTACCAGCATCCCTGAATAGTTCTTGTGACTTGTATAAGCACTGGAAATACAGGACAGATTTTTGACTCCTTAGCCACACTGTTCCCAAGTGCAGCACTTGTCCATTTCCTTTTCACTCTGGAGTGGATAGAAGCCCTTTTCAGTCATGCACACTCTATGAACATGAAGGGAGCAGTGTTGTGACAACTACCTCTGTCCCTAGATGTAGACAAGTATAGCCAAATGTTTTCAGGGAGTTGTAATGAGTGTACAAGTGTATACCATCCTTGGCAATACTGCAGAAAGCATACCTTCTTTCACAAGGAGGTGCCTACATGTATTCATGTACGTGTATTTTGGGGCTCACTGATTATATTTGACTGTATATACAAATGTTTGATAATGTGGACTTCCCTATACATGTGTATAACATACATTATTTTAAACGTCTGAACAAGGCTATCATGACAGAACTTGGGAGTTTTCTTTTATCTGTATGTATAACTACTGGAGTGCATATGCTTTTGTTGGAAAATGGGTCTGTCAGACAGATATTGTTAGCCTCTTGGGCAAAGAGGTGAGTGGCTTACAAAAAGGCTGACATCTGTTTAACGCCAAAGTTTTCTGATAGTCATGATTAGCTCCACTGGAACGAAATGTTCCTTCAGCAATAGCCATTCTACTGGTGTAATAGTTTTGTGTAACTTTTTGGAGCTGTGAGGTGACATTATTTATCATGTTAATGAAATTAAGTTAGTATTACTCTCACAAAACAGTGACTACCCTTACCAACACTACAGCAGCAATGTTTATCACTGTATTGTATCACAAAATTAAGTAAAATGAGGCATTAATTGGGTACAAAAGAGTGAAATACTTTCAGGATAAGAAGTCATTTTGGTGAATGCACAGTGACAGGATATATCTACATCAGCTTAAACTAATACTTGGATTGTAAATTTATAGAATGGGGATGCAACTTAACAAGCTTGTATAGCAGGATACATTCTGGCTAACTTTTTTTAAAAGCTGCTAATGGTGTACCTTTGACATATACAACTCTGTGCACCATAGCATTGTGTGGTGAAGCATAAATTGATGGGGTATAAATTTGATAAATAAAAATATTGTCCATATAATTATATGTCAAGATTCAAACTCTGGCAACTCTCTTAGAGAGACCTTATATTCTGATGCTAATGCAAATGTTAAAACTTCCAGATTCCTGATTTTTTGCACAGCTATTTCCTGTTACCTGGTATAACCAGTCTGTATCTCAACACAGTACTTGACAGAAGAATTTAAGCATTTGTTGCAATGTTTAGTTCATATCATATGCATTGTGTTCCAGTCCCAGGACCTGTATTTGATTTGCATGTAGCAGAGGTAGCAGCAACCTTTATCAGAATTGCTTGGAAGAAACCACAGCAACCAAATGGAATCATCACTCAGTACAGAGTAAAAGTAGCACTTGAAGACACAGGAGAGATTCTTGAAGATACAGTTCTTACAGGAAAAATTAAGGTGCTTTGATTTTAAATTAGTTACTATTAATTGGCATCCATATTACCTCTGGTTCCTCATTGTAATATAAATATTGGGAAATTACAGGACTTTATCCAAAGAGTTTTTCTAATTTCTTTGGTTTTCATTTTTAGAATTTTATTGAAACTGTGGATCTAGATATGATAAATGACAACACACCATCACCTTTCATGTGGAATAAAATACAGGCTGCAAATGAGTTATATGAAGGTTCATCTGATAGCTTTCCAACAATGAACTCACTCTCACCAGTAAGATTTACAAGTATATCCAGTGATAATTTACCAGATTCCAATGGGGTTTCAGAATTACATTCAGCTTCTGGTAAGTGTTGTGGTTGTTATTTTGCCTATACCTTGCCCGATAATTCAAAAGGGCGTTATTACATATGTGATCTTTAGCACAGAGTTTAGCCAAATTATTAATGGGTCATTTGCTAAAATCAGATTTTTTTGACCTACAAACTGCATTAGGAACAAATGAGAAGTGCCACACAAGCAGACACTGCTAGCCTCTTGTTACCCAGTTGACCTTCTTCCTAGAGAAAGAAGATGCCAGAGCCATTAGAGAAGCTCCATAGACAATCCAGTTATTACAGTTGCCAAGGCAGGTGTGATTGGAGATTAACATATCTCCATGTTCTGTGCAGACCTTAATTTCTCCATGAGCTTTGACTAATAGGTTTTCAGATGTCACGAGGGAAGTAGGTCAAAAAGTTACAAATCTGCTACATGGAGCAACAAACAGGTGGAGATGACCCTGTGTCACAGTGAGGTCATTAGCACACTCACACAGCATTATCAATGGTGCATTTTTCTTTGCTAAGTATGGATATTTATGACCCATTAAATAAGGCTTGGCTGACAGATACAGGCTTAAAATGCCTTTCCAAATTTTTAGAGTGAAGGCATTGAACAAAAGGCAGAAGGCCACATTCTGATTTTATTTACGTTCCATTGAAGGTCAGCTGTAAATGAAACCAGAATGTTGGGTTACTTTTAAAAACACAGCCAGTCTTCTTGATTTAATGCTACTGACTTTTTACTGACATACATACATATTCCATTTACATTGTGAAAATTAAGTGAACATATTCTTAAACCAATGACTACATTATAAGAATGGAAACATTTTGAGACTCTTGTTTTTCATTCTCATTGTATACTCTGTAATACATATGGTTCAATTTTCTATCCTACCCAACATTAGACTTTGTCCTTTTCAAATAATTGTTTCTGCTTTATAAGAAAAAAAATTAATCATTTGCTTTGGTGCTGATCAGTGTGGCAATAATTTGGTGCTGACTATTTAATATACTGGTAAATTAACAAACTTTTCTTTTAAAAAATGTATAGCATTGACAAGTGATACCATCAACCTTTCAGTTAAGCAGCTGTCATATCTTGTAAAGGAACTCCAGCCTTTTACTCAATATTCAGTTGCTGTGTCTGCTTTTACTATCATTGGAGAAGGACCACCAGCTATTCTCATTGCCAGGACAAGTGAACAAGGTAAAATTTTATGACTGAAATAATTTCATGCTGGCAGCTCTTTATTTCTCTGCAGATTTCTAGTGGTTTAATTCCTCCACCCATATTAAATGGCTTGTTTTTGTTCTGCAGTTCCAAGCTCTGTAGAAAATATAAATTATAAAAATATTAGCTCATCCTCTGTTTTGTTGTATTGGGATATTCCACTAAACCCCAATGGGAAAATAATACATTACACTGTTTATGCAATGGAGCTGGATACAAATAAAGCTTTCCAGATGACAACGTCAAATAACAGCATCTTGATTACAGGTAGGAGTCTAGGTTTTTTTAAAAAATGTAATGGTAACTATGCAAATTTGTTTGAATTGTACAGAAATGTAGTTATTTCTATCTTTCTGCATCTTTGCTGTCTGCATGCATTAGGAAATGAAACTTTTTTAAAGCAGTGGTCCTATTGCCATTCATTGTCTGGCACAGCTACAGAGACCTGGACCTCCTAAACTTCCATTTTTGTTGTAGTTGGGATATTTCAGTGCACTTATGTAGAATTTCATTGTGTCAAGTTGTTCTATCATTGCCATTTTCATTTCAGTAGTAAAATCCCCCCTCCCCTGGAATGTTGATGTCCACCTGATCCTACTAAATTTTCTGTAACCATTCAAGACCATGACCAGGATCCTAAGATTCATTCACCTTGTTCTTCATTCTAAGCAAGCATTGACCCTGTGTTTCTTGGACAGCAGCCTACTGGCTCTGTCCCAGTAGCATTTTGGATTCTGGGCCATAAAAATGCAAGTTAAAACCAATTTTTTCCAAAGAAGCTCAGCATACTAGACTAAATTCCCTTTTAAGGAAAAAATGTACTGTATGTTCTATATGTTTCCACTTGTAATTTCTTCAAAGATTATATGTTTTATTCTTAAACCACATGAAAATATGGACCTGTAGAAAGAACCTCCGAAGCAGAATCCCTGGGAACATCTTCTGCTTGATCCCCGTTGAAATGAATAGAAACTGTGCAATTATACTCATAACAGTGGATTGTCTATAGGGTTTTTTTACTCTTTCCAGGTTTGAGGAAGTATACAAATTATAAGATGAGAGTAGCAGCTTCTACTACTGTAGGAGAAAGTGCTCTTTCTGAAGAAAATGATATTTTTGTAACAACACCTGAAGATGGTGAGCATGGTTTTCATATTGATATTATTATTTGTTATGCCTTTGGTAATTAATCCTTGTAACTATTTTAAATTTGTAGTGACATATTAATGTAGTCAAATGATAAGAATGAGGCTCATGTGCTATCGGCAACGCTGATTGAGTACACGGGCTGCTTCGCCTCCCAGAGGAAAGGGAGACAGACAGCTGTGCTGTGACACTGACTGTTGCAGCGCCGGGTGGGCGGGGCTGACCGTTATAGGCTCAACCTTGTTCCCGCCCGTGTCAGTTGTCGCCTTGTGCCAGTTCCGGTTTGGGACCAGGGGTCATCAGGAATTGCCCCAGGGCTGTAGGGCTTAGGGCTGGGAATGTTGACCACTTCAGGGAGCCTTTCAGGTAAGCTCCTCCCTCAGGCTGTTGGGCTTCGGGGGTAAGCGCTCCTGGGCGGTGACCTGTGCGCTGGGCTGCCGGTTGCGGGCCAAAGGTTTGGCCCTAGGCCGGGGCTAGTGACTTGCCCATACCTGTAGGCAAAGAGGTTGGCTGGCTTGACACCTGCCGGGCCTGTTCTGCTCCCACTTAGTTCCCTTGCTATTGATTTATTCAGCAATTAAACAGTTAATAAAGTGGCCCTTGTTTGAATTCAAACAGTTGTCTGTCTCATAATTTCTGGCTCGGGGGGCGATGAGGCTCGTGTGCTATCAGCAACACTGATTGAGCACATGGGCAGCTTCGTCTCCCGGAGGAAAGGGAGACAGACAGCTGTGCTGCGACACTGACTGTGGCAGCGCCGGGTGGGCGGGGCCGGCTGTTATAGGCTCAGCCCCGTTCCTGCCCGTGTCAGTTGTCACCTCGTGCTCGGCCCAACCACCCGCCCTGTGTTCTGTATAGGCTGGTGCTGGTCGCTTGTTGGGGCCGGGTAGGAATTTTTTCACACTCATCGTGATTGGCTGGTAGATGAGCGTGTTTTTTCGCCTACCTTACAATGAACATAGGGGGAATCTATTCGGGCACTGGGTGTTGGCCATTAATTAGTTGGTCACTTTGGCAGAGTAGGGTGGGAAATAAATGAAAGCAGAACCGGTAATCACTTTCAGCCAATTCCGTTTTGGGACCAGGGGGTAATCAGGAATGGCCCCAGGGCTGTAGGGCTTAGGGCTAGGAATGTTGACCACCTCAGGGAGCCTCTTGGGTAAGCTCCTCCCTGAGGCTGTAGGGCTTTGGGGGTAGGCACTCCTGGGTGGGGTGACCTGTGCTCTGGGCTGCCAGTCGCGGGCCAAAGGTTTGGCCCTAGACCGGGGCTAGTGACTTGCCCATACCTGTAGGTAAGGAGGTTGGCTGGCTTGACACCTGCCGGGCCTGTTCTGCTCCCACTTAGTTCCCTTGCTGTTGATTTATTCTGCAATTAAACAGTTAATAAAGTGGTCCTTGTTTGAATTCAAACAGTTGTCTGTCTCATGATTTTCGGCCCGGGGGGCGATAAGTAAACTCTGTCCGCTTGTGTAAAATGGAATGTTTCTGAGCTCATATTAAAAATTCCTGTTTGTTTCATTGCCAATAAATTTTATGGTTTTGAACACCTTCCTGTAAGTATATGCTGGAAGGTTAGAAATACTGAGTCAGCTAGACCACTGGCCTTACAGTAGAAGAGTATATGTTTGAGGAACTACCATAGCTCAGTGACAGAGGCATACAGAAGTGTCCCAAATTCAATCCCTTGCAGAAATGGGATAGCTCTTTGTTTAAAACTCAGAAATGAGTCCTCCGCTCAAAAACATCTCTATAGACTATACTTTAGAGTACACTTTGATACTTAGGGCTGATATAGATATGACCTGGAAGATCTGTGATTTCCCATGACTTTTTAAAAAAAGACTCAAAGCAAGGGTGAATAGAAATCCCTTAAATATAACCTTCACAAACATTTTTAAATGTTTTCTGACTTACAGAACCAGATTCTCCACCCCAGAATGTCAAGATATTAGAAGTGACTGCAACAGAAATAAGCTTAAGATGGTCACCCCCAGAAAAGCCTAATGGGATTATAACACATTATGAAGTTATATATGACAGCTCAGCTGCTTTAATTATTAAAAACACTACAGGAACAAGTTTTTCTTTAAATGGCTTGACCCCATACACTCTCTATAATATTTCTGTAAGGGCATTCACCCATCTTGGTCATGGAAATCAGTCATCTGCCCAATTGTTCGTCAGAACAGCTGAAACTGGTAAGTGCAGAACTTTAGACTACTGTTATTTGACTGGGGTTTGGCAATCCCAAGAATAGTTATTAAATATGGTATACTCTACTACAGTATTTCTCAGACTATGAAGAGGAGTTTCCCAAGAATATGCATGGGAGGGGACAGGCCCTGCCTTGACTCCAAATAATGAGTGTATTGGTTGAACCAGAAAGAGGAGTGTCAATGTATTAATGCAATATAGTGTTATCCTAAACAGATTTACACCCTTCGAAGTCCATTAAAGTCAACTCTGGTTACTGGAGCACTATCAGTTTCTATAGCCTATGCTGTCAAATATTTTACAACATTTTGAATACGCCAAGAATTTTCCAGTGAGCTTTCCAAAGCATGTTGTACTAAGTGTGGTATGGTATTTAGAGTGTTGGACTAAGAGCTAAGGGACCCAGGTTTGATCTCCACTCTGCCATGGAACCTTGGTGAGTAATCTTGAGCCAATCACAAACACTCAGCCTAACCTACCTTGCAGGGTTGTTGTGAGGATAAAATGGAAGGCAGGAAAATTATGTAAGCCACTTTGGGTCCCCACTGGGGAGAAGGGCAAGGGATAACAGAAGTAAATAACTAAAAATAAATTCTGAAGTCTTGCTTTTCAGTAACAATATCACAATACCTTGATATCATAATGAGAGAATATTCTGCTGCTTACTACTTTTACGGGGAAATCTGACTATATGCACACCTTCATAAGAGTTTTCAAGCAGCATATTAGTCAATGAATTCTGAAACCCCTGAAGAAATGAAAGTACAACTGAAAGTAGTGGTTCATAAAATAGTTCAAGAATCGTAGGGAAATCACTTTGTTTCTCTTCTCTATCTGGAATTCAAATCTTTAAAAAGTATGGTGGAGGATAATTGTCTTGCTCACCAATAACTATGTGATAAGGAATGTACACTAGATGTATTGGATATCATACAGCCACATAGAGTCACAAAATGTAGTTGTGCTTCTTGGGGAAAGTATCTCCTTTTGCAAAGCACAAAATAATGTCTTGGAAGTGTCTCTGGGGTGGTTCCCAGACTCCCCTGCCTTCCCTGGCTGCAACATGGAGAATGCACCTAGGTAAAACAAGGATGGCCCGGCATTTTTTGGGGGGTGCATGGGTGGTCTCTGGACTCTGCTGCCCTCCCCAGCTGTGTCATGGGCCAACCAAGGAGGGGGAGGATGAGTAGGTGTCCCTCAGCAATGGGTGACACAGTTAGTATCCGGGTTGCCTCACACTCCCCAGATTTTCTGCAGGGGACATGTCTGGGTTAGCCTGGAGGGAGGGGGTAAAGATGACAATTTGTAACAATCTTACAGGATATTGAATTTATATGATCATAACAGTACCAGGAGCAGCAGCTTGCTACTAGCGCGCACATAGGGGAGTATTTTATCTATCCCACTAATGGTCTAACGTGGAGACTGGTTGGTGCAGCAATGCATGGGCACAGATTCCGGTGCTCCTGGGGAGTGGAAAGTATAGTGGTGGGTACAGGCAGAGTGTCAAGGGAAGGACACAGAGAAACAGAATGGCTCGGCGCCCTTCCAATCTGTGACCCATCCCAAAGGTTGTCAGCAGTGGGGCTAGGAGAGATAACCCCCCTCCAACATTGGTGCTGTGCAACACCAGGTCTATAAATAATAAGACCACAGTCCCCTGGGACTTCCTGCTGGAACAGAAAGTAGACCTGGTGTGCATGACCGAGACCTGGATGAGGGACAGTGAGACAGTAGCACTCTCCCAGCTTGCCCCTCCTGGGTTCTCGGTCCTACACCAATAACGGGCTAGGGGTGGGCGGGAGGGGCTATTTTAATCCGGAAGGCTTACTCCCTCAGGGCGCTCCTGCCGCTGGAGATCACGGGTATCAAGTGTGTCGGTCTGGTGTGGGAGGCCGAGGAGAGTTTGGCAATTTGGCTGGTGTACCGACTGCCTAGCACACTGGCCAATAGCCTGCTGTCCCTGATGGAAGCTGTATCACGCTAGGCACTGGAACACCTAGACCATTAGTCTTGAGTGATTTCAATGTCCATGCCGATGATGCGGCTTCCAGTCAGGCAGCGGACCTAGTGTCGTCCATGGTGGTGCTGGGACTCTCCCAATTTGTAATGACTCCCATGCATCGGGCAGGGCACACGCTGTTCTCCAGAGACCAGGTCTACCAATATAGTGGACTGGAGCAGGTAGACCTGTTCTCCGAAGGCCAGGTATACCAATATAATGGACTGGGGCGGGTAGACCTGTTCTCCAGAAGACAAGCCTATAAATATAGTGGAAAGGGGTGGGTGAAATTTGACTTAATTCTATTTTCTCTTATAAAGTTTAAATTATTCTTAAAATATAGTTTAAATATAATTTAAAAGAAATCTAGTTTATTTATTATTATTATTATTATTATTATCTATCGAATTTCTGAATTGCCCCATCCCTGAGTACACAGGGCTCTGGGCGATTTACAACAGATTAAAACATACAAAAATACAAATTAAAATCAACTATCAATTAGTCCAAATTACACCATCTTCAGATGGCGTCTATAATTTAAAACCTGTGGTTCTTCCATCTCATGGGCAGGTTAAGGAGGAGGCTGAAGCAGGTGAGGTAGAAAAAAAGAAGAGGGTGCCAGCTATGATAGAAAACTGTTGCTGTCCTCAAGCAAAAGCCTGGCGGAACATCTCTGCCTTACAGGCCCTGCAGAATTGCATTATGTCCTGCAGAGCCCTGATGGAAGTTGGCAGAGAGTTCCACCAAGTCAGAGCCAGGGCCAAAAAAGGCCTGGCTCTGGTTGAGGACAGCCAGATATCTTTGGGGCCAGGGATCACCAGCAGATTACTCTAAGCAAAGCGTATGCTCTCCCGGGGACATAACAGAGGAGACAGTCCCACAGATACACTGGTCCCAGACCACTCAAGGTTTTAAAGGTCTATGTAGACTTGCTCACAACTTTAATGCTACTAGCTTTTTTCACTCATGAAGTAAAATTTCTGCTCTCAGCATTGTGGAGCTTAGAGGGAACATTGCTGCACAGCTGGCGGAGGGGGAAAGCCCCTTTCCCAGTCTCACTAGGCTTCCAAAAGAACAGAAAGAGCACAACAATCAATGTAAAAAAAGAGAAGGGGGAGCACAGCTGCAAGCAGATGAGGTCCGTAAAATGACACCAATGTGCATTGATCCTTTGGCTGACTTCTGCGATCTCTTTAAAATTTAAAGGGACTGCATAAGCCTGCCTGACAAACAGCTGAGAGGTTTTTCTCTCAGCTGTTTTCAGATCTACCCAAAATTTCCGTTATATATCAGGGATTTTCTCAGGATTCCCCCTCCCTCCATTTTCCTGAGAAAACCCAGATACATTTGGGATACCAAACTATATTTGGCTCAGGTAGACCCAAATGCACACCCCTACCTGTTTATGAGGGAAAGACTCCACATTCCCATCCACTACAAATAATTGTAAACTTTGATTTTAGAATGAAAGAAACACCTGCTTTGTTCTAAAGAACCTTTCATTGCTACCAGATCAGTGAAGATGCTCAAGGACAAAGGGCTCCCCCATAGTCTTGTTTAAACTATTTTTGAGATTTAAAATCCCATGGGGGGGAAATTTGGGGCTTGTTTAAACAAAGGGGTTGAATCACTTCTTTGATAGTGAGACCAGCTGAGCTCTGAGCAGGAGCAGGAGAGAGAGCTGTGAGAGAGGTGAGTGGGTTTCTTTTACTTGCTTTCAGCTGAGAGAATTCAGCTAAGGATATTTTGTGGGAAAACTGTGTTTAGCAGTGTGTGGAAGCACTTAGAGTTCTTGCAGAGTCCTGGCTGATTGAGTGTGGGAGAGGAACGGGCATTATTTGACTGGGATTGCCTGTAATTGAGAGGAAGTGGAAGGGGCATTGTTTTGCCTGTGATCGAGTGCCTGGGTGAATTTGAATTTGAATAGCTGCTGCCTGACCTCTGCTGGGGGAGGCCTCTATTTAAGGAAACACCTTGGCAGAGGCGGGGTTGGGGGCTATCCAGTGTTTTGCACGGAGTGTCACATGTATGACTATCTGCCCACTGGGCAGAAGTCTTGGGTGTGTCCTCGGTGCAAGGAGCTCCTGGTTCTCAGGGAACGTGTGTGCTCCCTTGAGGCCAAGGTGGCTGACCTGGAGAAGCAGAGACAGTCAGCTAGGCACACAGAAAAGACTCTCGGGGACTTGTTAGCTTCGTCCCACTCTGGATCTGGCAGCCCCGCTGCTGTCAGGGAGCATGAGGGTCTAGGGGAAACAGGGCACCATGCTGAGGATAAGGGGAATGTGCCCTCAGAAGGGACCTCTTCCCCAGCTGGTGAGCGGCTCTCCTTTTGCACCAAGGAACCATCCCTGAGCAGGGTGGGAGGGGGGCTCTTGGTAGTGGGTGATTCGATCCTTAGGCAGGTAGACAGCTGGGTGGCGAACCCGCGTACTGACCGTATGGTGACTTGCCTGCCTGGTGCGAAGGTAGCGGACATTACGCGTGTTTTAGATAGGCTGGTAGATAGTGCTGGGGAGGAGCCAGTGGTCGTGGTGCATGTCGGCACCAACGATGTGGGGAAATGCAGTCGTGAGGTCCTGGAGGAGAAATTTAGGCTGCTGGGCAGGAAACTTAGGTCCAGGACCTCCAAGGTAGCCTTCTCAGAAGTGTTACCTGTTCCACGCGCAGGGCCGGAGAGACAGGCAGAGATCAGGAGTCTCAATGCGTGGATGAGACGATGGTGTAGGGGGGAAGGGTTCAGGTTTGTTAGGCACTGGGATACTTTTTGGAACAAGAGGGAGCTGTACAGGCGAGACGGTCTCCACTTGTCCCGAGAAGGAACCAGGCTGCTGGCACTTAAAATCAAAAAGGTGGCAGAGCAGCTTTTAAACTGAATATTGGGGGAAAGCCGACAGGAGATGAAAAGTCTCTGGTTCGGGTTGGCTCATCTGAGAGAGGTGAGGGGGTACCGGTTGCTTTTCTACAGGGAGGTGGATTGAAATTGTCCACAGAGGCCATGGCTGGTGACATGGACTGCCGGACAACGACTCGAGATAGCAAGAGGAAGGATGCAGGCTTAACTTGTAAGGGAAATTACAGCTGTTTCTATACAAATGCTAGAAGTGTCCGAGGTAAAATCGGGGAGTTGGAGTGCTTGGTGTCGGAGGGAAAAATAGACATTGTGGGTATTTCTGAAACTTGGTGGGATGAGGAAAATCAGTGGGACACAGTGATTCCCGGTTATATATTATATCGGAAGGATAGGGGGGGAAGGGTTGGAGGTGGGGTAGCTCTGTATGTCAGAGAGGGTATAAAGTCTAGAAAGATTGAGAGGCTAAGTGAATTGGATTCGCTTCTGGAAGTTCTATGGGTTGAAATAGGGGGGCCAAAAGGAAACTTAACACTGGGAGTTTGTTATCGCCCACCAGATCAAAAGATAGAGGAGGATTATAAAATGATGAATGCCTTAAAGATAGCAACTAGACAAAAACACTGTGTAATAATAGGTGATTTTAACTACCCACACATTGATTGGGTCAATATGTGTTCTAGTCGGGAAAAAGAGATTGAGTTTCTAGACACTCTAAATGACTGTGCTATGGAGCAGATGGTCACGGAACCTACCAGGGGAGAGGCGATCCTTGATTTGGTCCTAAGTAACACTCAAGACCTGGTGAGAGATGTAAAAGTGATTGCACCGCTTGGAAACAGTGATCATAATGTTGTTGAGTTCATCATTTGTACAAATAGAGAATTGGCCAAAAAGACTCACACAACCATTTTTAACTTTAAAAGGGGTAATTTCTCTGATATGAGGGGACACGTGGGGAGGAAACTGAAAGGAAAAGTAGAAAGGGTCAAAACAATTGGGGAAGCTTGGGATCTATTTAAAACTACGATCCTAGAAGCTCAAAAAATATATATTCCGCAGGTTAGGAAAGGCACAAACAGGTATAGGAAAAAGCCTGCATGGTTAACAAACAGAGTAATGGAGGCTGTAAAAAGTAAAAAGAATTCCTTTAAGCAGTGGAAAGCTAGTCACAGTGAGGCTGATAAAACGGAACACAGGCTATGGCAAATAAAATGCAAGTCTGAGGTCAGGCAGGCAAAAAGGGAATATGAGGAGCATATAGCAAAAAACGTAAAAACCAACAATAAAACTTTCTTCAAATACATTAGAAACAGGAAACCAGCCAGGGAGGCAGTGGGGCCCTTGGACGACCAAGGGGTAAAAGGAGTATTGAAGGATGATAGGGAAATGGCTGAGAAGCTAAATGCATTTTTTGCCTCCGTCTTCACTGTGGAAGATGAGAAGTGCTTGCCCACTCCAGAACCACTGATTTCAGGAGGGGTGTTGGAAGACCTGAGTCAGATTGAGGTGATGAGAGAGGAGGTCCTAAAACTGATAGACAACTTAAAAACTGAAAAATCACCAGGCCCAGATGGCATACATCCGAGAGTTCTGAAAGAACTCAAATGTGAACTTGTAGATCTCCTGACAAAGATATGTAATCTTTCCTTAAAATCTGCCTCCATTCCTGAGGATTGGAAGGTAGCTAATGTCACTCCCATCTTTAAAAAGGGTTCCAGAGGAGATCCGGGAAATTACAGGCCAGTCAGTCTGACGTCGATACCGGGTAAATTGGTGGAAACCATTATTAAGGAAAGAATTAGTAGGCACATAGATGAACAAAACCTATTGAGGCAGACTCAGCACGGTTTCTGTAAGGGAAGATCTTGTCTCACTAACCTGTTAGTGTTCTTTGAGGGGGTGAACAAACATGTGGACAAGGGGGATCCAATAGATATTATTTACCTTGACTTCCAGAAAGCTTTTGATAAAGTTCCTCATCAAAGGCTCCTAAGTAAGCTCAAAAATCATGGGATAGAAGGACAAGTCCTTTTATGGATCAAAAACTGGCTAGTTCATAGAAAACAGAGAGTGAGTGTAGGTGGGCAATTTTCTCAGTGGAGGGTGGTAAGCAGTGGGGTACCGCAGGGATCAGTACTTGGTCCACTGCTTTTTAACTTGTTCATTAATGATTTGGAGATGGGAGTAAGCAGTGAAGTGGCTAAATTTGCGGATGATACAAAGTTGTTCAGGGTGGTGAAAACCAGTGAGGATTGTGAGGCACTCCAAGGGGATCTGTCAAGGATGGGCGAGTGGGCGTCAACATGGCAAATGGGGTTCAATGTGGCCAAGTGCAAGGTGATGCACATTGGAGCCAAAAATCCTAAATATAAATACACATTGATGGGGTCTGAACTGGCAGAGACTGAGCAAGAGAGAGATCTTGGAGTTGTAGTGGATAACTCACTGAAAATGTCGAGACAGTGTGTGACTGCAATAAAGAAGGCCAATGCTATGCTGGGGATTATTAGGAAGGGTATTGAAAACAGATCAGCCAATATAATAATGCCCCTATATAAATCAATGGTGAGACCTCATTTGGAATACTGTGTGCAGTTCTGGGCACCACACCTTAAAAAGGATATTATAGCTTTGGAAAAAGTGCAGAAAAGGGCAACTCGAATGATAAAAGGGTTGGAACACTTTCCCTATGAGGAAAGGTTAAAGCGCTTAGGGCTCTTTAGCTTGGAGAAAAGACGACTGAGGGGTGACATGATCGAGGTTTATAAGATTATGCATGGGAAAGAGCAGGTAAAGAAAGAGGTACTTTTCTCCCTTTCTCACAATACAAGAACTCGTGGGCACTCCATGAAACTGCAGAGCGGTCGGGTTAGAACGGATAAAAGGAAGTACTTCTTCACCCAAAGAGTGATTAACACATGGAATTCACTGCCACAGGAAGTGGTGGGTGCTACAAGCATGGACGGCTTCAAAAGGGAATTAGATAAGCATATGGAGCAGAGGTCCATCAGTGGCTATTAGCCACAAGGTATAGCTAGGGGCTCTGGGGCAAGTGATGCTCTGTCTTCTTGGTGCTTGGGGGGGTCAACAGTGGGAGGGCTTCTAATGTCCTGGCCCCACTGCTGGACCTCCTGATGGCACTGGTATTTCTGGCCACTGTGTGACACAGAGTGTTGGACTGGATGGGCCTTTGGCCTGATCCAACATTGGCGTCTCTTATGTTCTTATGTTCTTATGATAGTCAGGAGTGCCCATTCTTTAATTTCTGTTGTTACATCCTTGGAAGTGCCACAACAGTAATCACAATAATCTGAACTTTTAGTTACAAACTAAACTTTTTGCCTGCTTTTCTTTTTCCTTTCAGTACCTGAATTTCCCCCACAAAACATAATCTACAAGAATATCTCTTCTACGGAAATAGAGTTATCGTTTCTTCCACCATTGGTTCCCAATGGTATTATACAGAGTTATACTGTATATCTCAGAGAGTCTGATGGAACCGAGGAAAGAATAATTAACATCACCTATCTGTCACTGAATATTACAGGTGATGACAGTTAGAATATACTATATCAGCTTATGTCCTTGCTTGTTTATGTTGGCCACTTTCTATAATGCATAAATCCTTTGTTTATTTGAAATATTTTACCCCATCTTTTGATTGTGGTCTGCAAAGTGACTTAGGCTGATTTCGCACAAGGAGCTGCGCCGCCATCACGCCTCCCTTTGCCCCATTTCCATTGGTCAATTTCTTACTCGAAGCCACGCGGCCGCATTTTGACCCAAGGCTTCGCCCGATTTTCCCCGCAAAAACCAGGGTCATGAAACAGTGGGGAAAATCGGGTGAAGTTGTGGGTCAAAATGCAGCCCCGCAGCTTCCAGTGGGAAATTAACCAATGGAAACAGGACAAAAGGAGGCATGAATCAGCCTTACATATCATAATTTGAAATGCCATTATAATAAAACAACCCAAATAATCAGGATTTCAGATAAGACCCATTCAGATACAACACCATAACAAGATCCAGCAGCATAATGATATCCTGTATTTTATAAAGCTCCGTTAGATTATCAGCACCAGAAGCAGCGACGCCATCAGTGAGTATATAGAGGGGAGCATTCCATTTGCCTGCCAGCGGTCTGAGGCTAATGCGAAAACTGATGGTGTGGTGATGCCTGGGCAACAGATTCCGGTGCTCCTGGGGAGGGGAAAGTATAGCGGTGGGTCCAGGCAGAGAGTTAACAGAAGGACACGGAGAAACAGAATGGCTCGGCGCCGTTCCAGCCTGTGACCCATCCCGAAGGTGGTTGGCATTGCGGCTAGGATGGATAACCCCCCTCCGACATTGGAGCTGTGCAATGCCAGGTCTGTAAACAATAAGACCACAGTCCTCCAAGACTTCCTACAGGAGCAGAAAGCAGACCTGGTGTGCGTGACTGAGACCTGGGTGCGGGACGGGGAGACTGTAGCTCTCTCCCAGCTTGCCCCTCCTGGGTTCTCAGTCCTACACCAAGTGCAGACTAGGGGTTGGGGGGGAGGAGTGGCTATCTTCATTCTGGAGGTTTCCTCCTTCAGGGTGCTCCCGCCGTAGGAGATTGCGGGCATTGAGTGTGTCGGCCTGGTGTGGGAGGCCGGGGAGAGTGTGGCGATTTGGCTGGCGTACCGACTGCCTAATGCACTGGCCAATAGCATGCTGTCCCTGATGGAGGCTGTATCAGGCTGGGCGTTGGAACACCCTTTGGCTTATAGTCCTGGGTGATTTCAGCATCCATGCCAATGACGCGGCTTCCATTCAGACAGTGGACCTAGTGTCGTCCATGGCGGCGCTGGGACTCTCCCAATTTGTAATGACACCCACCCACCAGGCCGGACACACGCTCGATTTGATCTTCGCGGCTGGGGTAACAGTGGACCGGATTATGGCTTTGGCAGTACCATGGTTGGACCCCATGCCCTGAAGGCCCATCTGAATGTTCCACCCCGACCCTGTTTAGGCAGCGAGCATATTTTAGCTTGCCCGTGGAGCCAAATGGATGCAGTGCGGTTCCAGATGGCTCTACAGGATCCGATGCCCCCTGGCAGCTTGTTAGATGAGCTTGTAGAAGACTGGCATTGCCGGCTCCCTACAGCCATCAACGAGATCGTTCCCTGGCACCCTCTGTGCCCTCGCTCTAGGCTTGCTCCCTGGTTTACCCAGGAGTTGTGGCTTATGAAGCAGGAGCTAAGACGGCTAGAGAGACGGTGGCGTCATGCTCAAGACAAAGCTACAAGAGCATATTATAGGACATTTATGAGATCCTATGAGATGGCAGTCAAAGCTGCTAAGAGAAAGTTCTACGCGGCTACGATTGTGTCTGCCAGCTCACGCCCAGCCCAATTGTTTAGAACGTTTCGGTCTATAACAGTTCTGCCACGGGGCAGACCAAATGCTAGGGAATTGGAGATTGGCTGTGAAGCATTTCCGAGATATTTCGCGGATAAAGTCTTGGTGCTCCGCCGCAACCTTCCCGCCACATTTGGAACAGTGAGTGAACTCGAGACCCCTTGCGTGTCTTCGCCGACTTTGGAGCATTTCCACCCACTCAGCCTAGAGGAAGTCGACTCGCATTTGTGTGTCCAGCGACATGCGGTATTGATCTGTGCCCTTCCTGGCTCATTAAAGTGGGCCACGAGGGGTTTCAAGGTGCCCTTAGGGAGATTATCAACAAGTCCTTCTAAGAGGGACGGTTCCCAGGGGCACTCAAGGAAGTGATGGTCTGCCCTCTCTTGAAAAAAACATCTCTGGACCCGGCCTAATTAGCCAACTATCGGCTGGTCTCTAATTTGCCCTATTTGGGAAGCAATGGGGAAAGCACATTTTACCCCATTTTACCCCCTTGGGGGTTGAATTTCTAAAAATCCCTTCTTAGTGAGCATCTACGTCTGCTGTCCCCGAATTTTGTGTTTCTAGGTCCAGGGGTTTGGCCTTGGGTGTTGATTTTACGGTGAGGGGACTTTATTTTTTATATATAGGTAGATGCACAAAACATATGCATTTGAATATAATCATAAATAGGTAAATATTGCTGGATTTTTGTATGTTTGTAAGTGGATGGCAAGATAGGCTTCCTGGTATTACCTGGTATGTTAAGGTCTGTAAGATGGAGCATATGACTTAGGGGGGAAAGACCAACCCATTTTGTGCTTACATATAAATCCTATGTATTCGTGGTAATTTTGTTTCAAAAATATTCTGAGTAAATGATTATTAATTAAACCCAACTTCTGTATTAAACAAAAAAGGATGGTGTCACTTAAACATCTGCAAATATATTAATAATTTTTAATTATTGTTTGCTAACCTTAGGGTTACTTAGATAAGTTTTTTAAAGGCTCCAGTTTTGAAAAGTTGGTTACATTTAAAGCTTGACCCATTAATTAATATGTTGTAAAATAACTGTTATGTATTGGGATTGAATCATTCCTGATTGACTCACCCCAGAGACTGGCTGAGCTTGGAGTACAAGAACAATAGCATACCAGGATTCTGAAAGTAACCAATCTAGCAGTAATGTTATGTAAATAGCCTATCGCCGGGAGTGGGGTGTGTTTGGGTGTGGCAAATGCATGCTATTTAACAGAGCTGATGCTCTGGAGTCTTGTCTTGCTCTTGCTGAAATCACTAATAAAGTAGAGCTGATCACTAGACTTGTGATCTGTTCATCCATGGAACCCACTATTTAACAATAACAAAAACTGGAAATGGTTTAATATCTATGTAATGGTTTTCCTATTCATAACCATGATGTGCAAATAATTTTTCAGTATCCGTAATTTTGAAACAATCACAGATTACATGCAGTGATTATAAACACAAATGCATTATAACGTATTTACTGTAATATTCTTTATTCAGGTTTGAAAATATATACACACTATATAGTTGAGGTGTCAGCAAGCACTTCAAAGGGTGAAGGTGTTCGTAGTGAGCCCATGTACATACTCACTGATGAGGATGGTAAGTCTTTTATTATTATACCATTGCAGATATGTCTATACTGTATCATGTAGGGAATCCTCTGAATTAATTGCATATACTGGTAAGATGGCATGTAATTTTTACTTTTCTATTGTTAAAGAAAAAATGCTGTGATGATGTTTGTGGCCCCAGTGCCAAGGGGAGTGATGAAGTGGGGGCCAAAGGCAAAAAAGCCCCTCTATACCCAACTAAATACTTATCCTGTTTACATTTCAGTTGAAATAATACACATGCACAAAAGTTTTCAGAGAAATGTGGAATAAAATTGGCCACAATTTTATTGATTACAGCTGTAGTATGCTTTGGCACAGCATGGGGTACTGGATCCAGGTCATTGACTGACCCGCCTGCCAGTCAATGATCCACTGGAAACCTTGGGATGACAGGTCTCTGGATCCCACAAGAGCGCCCCCCCCGGTGGTCTCCCTTGCCACCTGAGCATGAGGGTAATTCCCGGCTGTGCCCCCAGGCTGGGCATACCACTTGACCTTCAGGCCAAGTTTCTTTATGGGGATCCCCAAACTCAGGAAAATGGGTATGCAGGCTGGCTTTCCTGATAATGGATCCAGCCCCATGCTGATACCACCAAGTTGTGACAAGGAAAATTAAATGAAACAAAACCACATGCAAACCCCTTCAACTACACCTAACTAAAGGGCCAGGAGGGTGGGCCAAGTTGCCTGACACTGAAAAGATGGTGAGCAGAGGCGGTGCAGTGCCTTTAGTAGTGGCCGGGGCGCCCCCCAACATCCAGGACCTACTTATAGGGTCAGTGTTGGTTCAGGCAGGCCCAAGCTTCCCATGCTCACTGCCAGACCACCCCCTCCACCTGGCAAGAACCACCCTGGCCGCCTTTGCTCCACCCTCCCCATGGCACTGCAAACAGGACCTTGGGTGAGTCTGGGCCCTGGCTTGTAATCAACACTCCTGTGGAAAAAAAGGATAAGTTGATACAGAGCCCTTACAGCCAGGAATTGTTTTGTGTGGCAGTTAGAAAGTCTCAAATAAGTCCAATAAATATAGATGTTTTATATTTAAACAGCCCTCATCTAGCCAAAATTAAGAGTTTTAGCAAAACATATGAAAAGTGGGAGGCAGTGCTATGAAAGGACAAGCAAATAAACAAAAATGTTTACAGTATGTCATGCTATAAACTTTCTTGCAAGTACACACTGTTCTAAGCATAATACCAAATGTTTCACAGATTGGCTAAGAGCTATGCTTATGTTTCCAATTTCCATGCATGACTACAGATATGACTGCATTTTCTAATACTGTACTGTCAAGTATTGACTCAACGCCGTTGTAAGTGATTCAGCTTTATTATCAACCGGAACATCAGAAGAACACACAACAACAAACAGTGGAGCATAGCTTCCTTTTAAACTATCCCGGGCTGATGTAGCCACGCCCTAGAATAGTTAAGAACCAATAGCATTGTTACAATAGTGTCCAATCAGATTTGTTCCCTCCAGCACAGTTCTCTTGCATCTGATTGGTTACACTTAAGCATTAGCCAATAGGATTGTTCCAGCTTAGAATCCTGGCTAAGGTCTCAAGCTTAACATTACATTTAACACAGTGAATACATAACATATACGATGCTGTTCTGTGTGACTTAAGATAAATATGATAATAGGTGATAATGTGTCTATGTTTCATTATCAGAAAAATGGTAGAAAATTATGTCATTTCAGTTGAATTAATATTTATCCCGATAGCTTGTCTTAACCTTGAAATGATGTGACAACAAAATCTACAGTGTTCTAGAGGTTAATAAGAAGATAAGGAACTGTTTTATATTGAGTCAGATAAATGGTCCATAGGTCTTTCCCAGTTATATTACCTACATTCCTTTTTAACTAAGATTTTGGGCAAATTGTGTGGAACTTCCTATATAAGAAACAATTGCTCTGTCATCGAACTGCACTCTGAATTTTTAAGAGTTTTAAGTTATATCCCTCTCCTGTACAGTATTATATCTATCGTGATTTGATTGAATTTTAGTTGTCTTGAGCCATTGTATATACTAAGATCTCTCTTGCATTCTTAAATGTGTTGTAAAAATAAGGCTTTTTTTAAAAAAAAAGGGTGAATAGATTTAAATGCTGCATTCTACATTTTTATCCTCCATCAGGGCCATCCTCATCAATTTTCCCATCCATTGGAGCTTAAGTCTCTTTGGTCCTCAGGGGGACTGTATTATAGTTTAATATGGGTTCACACCTATAAAGTCCCTGCTTTTATTATGAAGAAAAAATGACAACAATGTTCTTGGACAGTAGGTGAATCACTGTGACATACCCATTACTCTGTTCTCCCATGAAATATTGTTCTCCATCAAATCACAGAAACAGATGTCTTAACATCACCATGCAAAATTATCCTTTATCACCTTGCTAAAAAAAAGTTCAGGCTATAAGGCTAGAAGACCCATCTCAAGATACATATTTAGCTGTAACTGAAATCATAGCAACTTAACTAGATGTTGCCTCCTTACTTCACAGCTCCTACTTCTCCTCCTCGATTGCTTACAGTAAAACAGTTGTCTGGTGTCATTGTGAAGTTGTCATGGAAACCACCCCTAGAGCCAAATGGAATTATCCTCTATTACACAATTTATGTCTGGTAAGATTTTATCTGGTAATTGTTCTGAAGAAAAATATTAACTTGTCACTTATCAAGAATATTAGTTGCCCCCCCCACTCTGTGCAGTGTTTGTCAATTATACATTTGCTATGAGTGAATATTAGGACATCACTTTAAACAACTTATCCTGTATACATTTAAATTATTAGTTTCGAAAGTGTATTTGGGAGCAGAGTAGAACCAACATATTTTGCCATCTTCAAGCTGCTGTACTGCACAAGAAGCACATTCCACAATCCCTTGCAGAGCCGTAGTAGATCCTTTTTTCATAACATTTTGCACTATACATCTGCATTCTGACCTTTTCCTTTACAACTGCCATCCCACCTTCAGACTGGGATATAAGGATTCTGGGGTCTCCATTCCTACTTGTATCTGGCAAAAGGAGCTTTGAATCTCAAAAGCTCACCCTGAAAAAATGTTGGTCTCTAAGTTGCTACAGGACGAGTCTCTCTGATGGCCTGTAGCTTCATTGGCACTCTTGAATTACAACTACCCCAAACAAACATGATTGTAAGACTGCATTCACATTGAACCCTAAACAGAGTTACACCCTTCTTAGTCCACTGATGTCTGTCTATGGATATAGACTGGAGTAACTTTGCATAGAATTGCATTGTTAATTCATTGCCCAAGAAAGCTCTTGGGTATACAAGCATTAGAAAGTATCACTTCATTTTTGATTGTATCTAAATTCTTCTCTGTCCCGTTACAGAGACTCAAATAAAATTGAATTCTGGGTATAAGCTTTTGTGTGCATGCACATTTCTTTAGATACCTGTTCTGAAGAAGTGTGCATGCACACAAAAGCTTATACCTAGAATTAAACTTCATTTCTCTTAAAGGTGCCACTGGACTCAAAGTTTGTTCTGTTGCTTTAGACCAACGTTGCTACTCACCTGAATCAAACAAAATGGGCATGGAAAGCCTTGACACTAGGGATGGGCATGAACCAGAGAAATGGAGGTTCGTCCCGGTTCATGGGGTTTCTTGAACCACAAACCTTCCAGTTTACTGAACTGTTTCATTTCATGAGGTTCATGATGCGGTAGAACAGCCCCGCTGTGGGCTAGGGATATCAAACTCACAGTAAGTCTCCAGCTGGTTCTCCTCTACCGGCCTCCAGGTTTGGTGAGGATTAGGTTTCATGGGGCTGAGTTACAGACCCCCTCCAAGCCAGAGGCATCAAACTTGCAGAGATGTTCAGAAATAAGTATGGGGGAGGGTGTTCTGGCAAGGCAACTAGCAGCTAAGCCCCTTTGCCCAGTGTGAGCAGAGAGACAGCTGGCTCAGAGCCCTGAGTTCACCAGACACTGACCCACCCAGGAACAGGTGTTTAAAAATCCCCCTGAGGGGGAGTGTGGGTCCTCAGCCAAGGAACCCAGTAGCTAAGCTGCTCTGCTCAGCTTGAGCAGAAGGACAGGTGCCTCAGAGCCCTGACTAAGCACCAAATACAAGCCCAGCCAGTGAGAGGTGTTCGGAAATCCCAATGAGGAAGGGTGTGGGTCCTCAGCCAAGGAGCCTAGTAGCTAAGGCCTTCTGCTCAGCTTGAGCAGGAGAACAGGTGCCTCAGAGCCCTGAGTAAGCACCAAAATACCCCCAACCCCAGTGTTCACACTGAGGAATGAATTCCAGTTCCCTTCCCTCTCTGCCTCTAACTCCCTCTCTGCCTAACTGCCTGCTGCCAAGTAAAAGCAGCTGTGTATGATCTGGGAGCAGCCAGCACTGCCTGTCGAGCTTTAGAGGGCTACTGTTGGTGTTTCCGGAGCTTCAGAAGGGCTGCAGAAGTCCACCCCCCATTGTGTTGATAATTGATTAATTGATGCCAGCATGTCTGCCACACAAACCGCCAACACAAACCCCGCCATAAAACCCATGGAGGCTTGTAGGAGGTTCGTTGCAGGCATGATTGCGTGACCCTCAGCTCAGAAACCACGAACTGGGCAATTTTCGTGATGAATTTAGGTTTGTGACAAGATTTGTGCTCATCCCTACTTGTCACAGATGATGCTAACTTTTGCACACTCTTGTGTCACTCGTGGCAAGTCTAGACCTCATACACACACAACTCCATCAAATATAAAGAAGCTAATCTTGCTAAGCTTTGTGTACTTCCATAGTTGTATTCTTTTAAAATTGGTGAGATTTGTTGGCTGTAATTTGTGCCAGCCAGTAATCTCACCACTGCAATTTAGATCAATGCAACCTTCTGGACCATCTTTAGAGGCAGCCCCACATAGAGCACATTACAGTACTCTAGCCAGAATATGATCAGAGCATGAATAACTGTGGTGAAATCTAACTTCAAATGATTAGCATATGGCAGCACCGCCACTCTCACGGAGCATGAGGGTCGAGAGGAAACAGGGGACCATACTGAGGACAAGGGGAATGTGCCCTCAGAAGGGACCTCTTCTTCAGCTGGTGAATGGGTATCTTTTCGCACCAAGGAACCATTCCTGGGCAGGGAGGGAGGAGGGCTCTTGGTAGTTGGTGATTCGATCCTTAGGCAGGTAGACAGCTGGGTGGCAAACCTGCATACTGACCGTATGGTGACTTGCCTGCCTGGTGAGAAGTTAGCAGACATTATGTATGTTCTAGATAGGCTAGTAGACAGTGCTGGGGAGGAACCAGTGGTCATGGTACATCTTGGCACCAACGATGTGGGGAAATTCAGTCATGAGGTCCTGAAGGAAAACTTTAGGCTACTGGGAAGGAAACTCAAGGACAGGACCTCCAAGGTAGCCTTCTCAGAAGTGCTCCCTGTTCCATGCACAGGGCCGGAGACACAGGCACAGATCAGGAGTCTCAATGCATGGATGAGATGATGGTGTAGGAAGGAAGGGTTCAAGTTTGTTAGGCACTGGGGTGCTTTTTGGAACAAGAGGGAGCTATACAAAAGAGATGGTCTCCACTTGTCCCAAGAAGGAACCAGGCTGCTGGCGCTTAAAACCAAAAAGGTGGCAGAACAGTTTTTAAACTGAATATTGGGGGAAATCTGATAGGAGTTGGAAAGTCTCTGGTTCAAGATGGCTCATCTCAACAAGATTAAGGGGTAGCTGTTACTATTCTACAAGGAAATGGATTAGAATTGTCCACTGAGACTGTGGCTAATGATATGGACTGCCTGGCAAGGTCTCAAGGCAGCAAGAGGAAGGTTGCGGGCTTAACATGCATGGGAAAATAGACATTTATATACAAATGTTAGAAGTGTCCGAGATAAAATCAGGGAGTTGGAATGCTTGGTGTTGGGGGGGGGGGAAATAGACACTGTCGGTATTTCAGAAACTTTGTGGGATGAGGAAATCAGTGGGATATGGTGATTCCTAGTTATAAATTATATTGGAAGGATGGGGGGAGAAGGGTTGGAGGTGGGGTGGCTCTCTATGTCAGAGAGGGTATACAGTCCAGTAAGACTGAGAGTGTAAGAGAACTGGATTCGCTTCTGAAAATGCTATGGGTTGAAATAGTGGGCCCAAAAGGAAGCTTAACACTGGGAGTTCGTTATTGCCCACCAGATCAAAGGATAGAGGAGGATTATAAAATGATGAATGAATTAAAGATAGCGGCTAGATAAAATAACTGTGCCATAATAGGTGATTTTTAACTACCCACACATTGATTAGGTCAATATGTGGGGAAGTGGGGAAAAAGAGATTGAGTTTCTAGACACTCTAAATGACTATGCTATGGAGCAGATGGTCACAGAACCTACCAGGGGAGAGGCGATCCTGGATTTGGTCCTAAGTAATGCCCAAAACCTGGTGAGAGATGTAAAAGTGATTGCACCGCTTGGGAACAATGACCATAATGTTATTGAGTTCAACATTTGTATAAATAGGGAGTTGCCCCAAAAAGACCGACACAGCCACTTTTAACTTTAAAAGGGGTAACTTCTCTGAAATGAGGGGACATGTGAGCAGGAAACTGAAAGGAAAAGTAGAAAGGGTCAAAAACACTGGGGAAGCTTGGAGACTGTTTAAAACTACAATCCTAGAAGCTCAGAAAAAATATACCGCAGGTTAGGAAAGGCACAAATAGGTATTAAAAAAGGCCTGTATGGTTAACAAACAAAGTAATGGAAGCTGTAAAAAGTAGGAAGGATTCCTTTAAGCAGTGGAAAGCTAGTCTCAGTGAGGCTGATAAAAGGGAACACAGGCTGTGGCAAATAAAATGCAAGTCTGTGATCAGGCAGGCAAAAAGGGAATATGAGGAGTATATAGCAAAAACGTAAAGACCAACAATAAACCTGTCTTCAAATACATTAGAAGCAGGAAACCAGCCAGGGAGGCAGTGGGACCCTTGGATGACCAAGGGGTAAAAGGAGTACTGAAGGATGATAGGGAAATGGCTGAGAAGCTAAATGCATTTTTTGCCTCTGTCTTCACTGTGGAAGATGAGGAGTGCTTGCCCACTCCAGAACCGCTAATTTTGGGAATGGTGTTGAACGACCTGAGTCAGATTGAGGTGATGAGAGAGGAGGTCCTATGACTGATAGACAACTTAAAATCTAATAAATCACCAGGCCTGGATGGCATACATCCGAGAGTTCTGAAAGAACTCAAATGTGAACTTGTGGATCTCCTGACAAAAATATGTAATCTTCCGTTAAAATCTGCCTCCATTTCTGAGGACTGGAAGGTAGCTAATGTCACTCCCATCTTTAAAAAGGGTTCCAGAGGAGATTCGGGAAATTACAGGCTAGACAGTCTGACGTCATTACCGGGTAAGTGTAATCATTTTGAGGACCTCAGCCATATGGCAGCTGCAAGTTCCCTATGGTATGCAATTTAAAAGATCCCCAGGGGCCCAATTCAGACTGTGGCATGGAGGACTCCTGCCCCTGTGCTGTTTTCCCCAACTTGAAACAGCACCAGAGGTGTTATTTGCCCCATCGGAGGCTACTTGTGCCACAGTCCTGATTTGAATTGGGTCCTCTGTGGCACTTCTAAACTGAGTCCCTTGGGGAACTCACAGCTGGTGTCCTGCTGCAAGTCCCCTTTGGGATTACACATTAAACTAATTGTAGCTTGGCCCTTCAATGGACTACTTACAGGTCCAACCACAAGCAAAATGTATCACTGAAGGTCCCAAGCAGTGACCTTTGCTACCACTGACCTGTGTTCCTGTTTGGGGATTCCTCCAGTTATAACAGGTGGTTGCAGTTTTGCTACATTATTTTGTTTGACCCTGACTGTTACAGGGCTAAGAGGTAAGTGGATCTCACTCCTACCCTGGCTAACAATGACATCATAATGAAATTCTTACTTAAACAGAGGTGTGCTAGGCTTCATGTCAGTGGGACTCCCATATGGCTATATGGAAGTCCTCTCCAGCACAGCCCATTTCTCCCTGTATTTTCTCTCTAGCTTCATGTACAGTGGTAAAACAGCACTTTGCTCTTACAAAACTTATAAAATTAATTACATGGGAAATTTTGTTCTAGATTTTCTGGATTATTTAGATATTATTCTACTTTTTAACTACATACTACTTGTAACATTTTCTCTTAGGAATATCATGTTGAACAGAAGCATTAATGTAACAGAAACCTCATTAGAGATCACAGATCTTGAACACAACAACGAATACAGTGTTTATGTGACAGCAAGTACCAGATTTGGAGATGGGAACATAAGGAGTAACATGACTAGCTTCAAAACGTCTGAGGGACGTAAGTGTTATACTGCAGTGACTCTAGAAGATTAGAATGAAATGTAGAGATGAAATGTAGGGAACCTCGTAGGGTATGCTCCTCTCTGCAAGTTGTCAGGCTTCAGGGGTAGGCGCTCCTATGTGGCGACCAGTTTGCTGGGCTGCCGGTCACGAGCCAGATTGATGGCTCAAGACCAGAGATTTGGTTCACTGAAAATTGTTCTGGTAATATACAATAAACAAGTAAGATTTTAATGGAGACTACCTGAGGAAAAGTGGAATAATTTGATAAGAAGAACATCATAGCCTTTTCTCTTTGCATTGGTTATTCTGTAATATGGCCTAGAGGTGGATGTATCCTTGCACAATGAGCCAAGCTGAACACACATGAGGTGGCCTTATACTGAATCAGACCATTGGTTCATCAAGGTCAGTATCACCTACTCAGGACATGTAGTGGTTCTCCAGGGCCCCTGGTAGAGGTTTTTCACACCACCTACTACCTGACCCTTTCAAACTGAAGATGCCAGAGTCTGAACCTGGGACCTCCCAATATTTTGGAAAATGTTTCCATGCTTCTCTAAGCCCCACACTTGTTTGTGTTTGCTGTGCGGAGTCTTGCCTGTGCCCACAATCTTTTTTCACTGGATTATAAATATGAAGTAATACACCTCAACATTTATTTTAATTTAATTTTATTTATAATTCGATTTATCTCCCGTGCCTCCTCTAAGGCTCAGGGTGGCTAACAGGTGGGGCAACATGAGTTTCCAGTCCCCCCTGCTAATAATTCCTAGGCAAGAAACTGATTTTTGTAAATGCTAAATTGTTAAAATGTTTTTCAGCTCCAAGTGACCCACCTAAAAATGTCCGGTATACAAATCTCACCTCCTCATCAATACGCATTTTCTGGAACCCTCCTCAAAAGCCCAATGGGAACATAAGGTTTTATTCAGTTTACTACAAGAACGATTCAGAGATTTACATACAGGTACATCTTTCTGTTCTTATTTTCTCAGTTCCAAAATTTATGTATTATTTTGTTACTTTAAGATATCATGAACAAATTAAAACATGAGTCAAAGAAATGTCACTCTTTTGTACAACTATTTAATTATATGTAAGTTTTGCACATGATAATAAGGAAAATAAAATATTATTTAGTCTTTACCATCAAAGATTTAATCTGAACCTTAAAATAAATGTGATCTTTATGTTTGTTTTCATTTAGCAAAGCATGGAGATCTTACACTGAATTTCTAGACTGCTTGCCTATCTCAGGGAGAAGTCAGTAAATGAGGCAACAAGCAAAGAATACGAAGCATAGTTTAGGAATTTTTAATCAGCCATTTAACTTTATGAATAATATGTCAATTTTACACATTGATATTGTATATTAATACTTTTATCTGTCTTCTGTCCACAAAAAATCAGTTCTGCATGAGGAAAGGAGCTATGAGAGCACCTGCAGTTCAGTTTAAAATTAGCTTCTCTGTTCAGAAGTTGTGATTGTTGCAGAGAAAACGTCAACAAAACATTGAAAAAAATTGTGTATGATCTGAGGAAAGAAGATGTACATATTTTGTCTTTTGCCTCATTAACACTAGTTCTTCTAACCCTTAGTGTTATGGGTTCTTAATAAGTGTTTCCTTACTGCCTATGTAGGATTAATACTCAACTTTCTGTGGACTGTGTTCCTTATTGATATAGTGCAATTGTGAGTACTAGATTTATAGCTACATACTAAGGCACCAATATCAGTGCTGGATTTGGCCTTGGAACCCAATCTAGTTGCTGATGTGACCTGTGTATTAATGGTAAAGAGTAGGTTCATAAATTCATTTTAAACAACAAAGAGAGCAGGCCTACATCAGAATCTCAAATAGAAAAATAAGGACCCATACACATCTACCTACTTATGCAGTCTCATTGGAAGCTACTACAATGGAGCTTGGTAATTATACACAAGCATCTCTAAATTTTAATATAGTCTTTGAATTACTCAATTACCTTTCTATTTCTCAGATAGGTTTATTATAGACAAGGCTCCCTCTAGTGGATGAATAAAAATTACCAACAGAAATAGCTAGGAGTCACAACTAGCGATATGTAGCTAAAAAAATGGTATTTTCTGGATCCAGATATCAGGGAGCAATAAATAAATAAATTGTGTTCCTCGTTTTCTGGGTGTGAAATACTGATTTGGTATTTGGATATGGGGGTTTTGGGGGGTGGAGGGGGATTCCAATATTATTTGGGTCCATTATTCCCTATGGGGAATTTTTCTGGAGGGGCTGTTTTTTTACCAAAATGCACCAAAATTGCAGCAATGCTGCTGGTGCCAGTCCTTTAATAACCCCCAATTTCCAAGTGAAGTAAACCTCTTGGGCCCCTGAACCAAGATGCCCCCAGCCATCCTCCATTGCTTGCTATGGGAGAAGGAAATTCCATGCTTTCTCCAGGGGAAGGAGTAGCTAAAGACACAAGAGCAATCAAAGCAACCCCTGGCCAAAAACCTCTCAAGGCAGATAGAGCAAACAATCCCAAAGAACCAATACAGAACCAGGGAATCCTAGCAGAATCACTGAACAATGTGGCAAGTCTAACACAACAAATGTACAACCTGGGAATCCAACCCAAGATCAAACCAGAGAATCATCCAAACCAAACCGAATAGGAACACAAGTCTAACAAATGTAGAATCAGTGCCAATATACAAAAAAAGAATCAAAGGCAATGTCGAACCCGAGAATCGATCACAAATCAGCTCATTCAAAGAATACAGTTTTGCAAGACCAGCAAAACCAATTTAAAAGTTCACTCAAAGAGAAACCTATACAGCAAGCTGATACCAAGCCTGGGAATACACAGACACAGAAAAGAAGAAAAAACAAATGTTCACGGTTAATCCTAAATATTTCCAGGTATCCCAAAAGTTCTAGATGCCATCCAGAGACCCAAATCTATTAGTAAAATATTAATAAGGTATTTTTCAGATGTATATTTGAATCAGACATATCCAAATGATATCCCTAGTTACAACTACCTAATTTCCCCCATATCCTCTCCCCATGCTATTTCTTCTTTTCCTTTTCCTGGCTGCCGTTATATTCTCAATTGTCACTGCTTTCTTTTCTACTTCTGTGAGGCAAAGCACCCTGCTTCCTCTCAAAGGGTTAATGTGAAGTATTTGTGGGCCTACTCCGGCTTGCAGGTGTCCATAATTGGACCTCTCTGCCTACACCATACTTATGTCTTTCAAGGCTGGAGTCAAGAATGTGGTAATTGGCTCTTCCTGGGAATCTGTGTTCCAGTAGATGAGAGGGAGGAAGGAACAGGAGTGATGTTTTAATCTTCTAGAGTGTTCCAGCAAGCGTGCACCCTGGTTGGATTTGGAACTTCACATGGTGCCAGACAACAAAAGACTATAATTGAGTCATGAACCAGAGAGAAGCCATGCTAACTTAATGATTCTGCAGGATAGAGGCCTAGACTATGAAAAGGTAGTTTGTATGCTGCAAGGTAATAGAGACTGTGTTGCCTAGTGTTACTTTGTTCTCTAAATATTGAATAAACCTTCATATATTTACCAAGGTCTGGTTTATTGTGTGCTTATCACTTTGAGGATGCACAGCTCTGAGCGCTGCCTGCTTACTCAAGTGGTGGCATCTCAGGGGGCCCCAGGCTTGGGTCCTTGACAACTTCCCACCAACCAACCCTTTATCTTCCCCCATCTTCAGCAAGATATATTTATTATGTATTTACTTCATTTATACTTCACTCTTCTCTGCAGTGGGGACTTGGAGCAGCTTACTTCATTTTCCTCTCCTCCATTTTATCCTCATAGCAACCCTATGAGGTAACATGCTGAGAATGTGTTTCTATTATTTTGTGGGGGTTTCATCCACCCAGTGTATTTTTTAAAAAATTCAGATTTTACTGCAAACCTGGGAGTTTTCTTGGGCTTGTAGAAAGCTCTGTCCTGTCTGTTTATGGCTCCAGTCTCTGGATTTAAGGATCCACAGATTTTGCCATATTCAGAATTTGCTAAACTGATGCTCATTTTACACATGTTATTCCAACTATGGTATCTAGGGAGCTTGCCAAGAGCGTAGAGAGGTAAGATAATAGCTCAGATAGATCCATAGTACAGCATGCATGAACTCCTAGGTTTGTTTCATTACATCTGCAGCTGAAGCATCTGAAGTAGCAGAGCTGGAAGAGCTTCTCTTGGGTTTGAGGGAGCAATGGATTGACTCAGAATAAGGTAGCTTCTTATGTTCATATCAGCCAGAAAATATAGGAATAAAATAGGTAAAGGCAATGTGTATACATTGTATTTTCAATGCAAATCAGTATGCACAACTAGGAGGCTCAACAATGGGTTCTTTGCCTTTTGAGTTGGATCAGGTGGCATTCTGGTTCACTTAAGTGCAGCTTCATCACCAAGCAAACTGTCCTTTGTTCAAGCAAAATGATTCCCTATATTGCCTATATTTATTTAAGTGAATATATAGTTTATAGAGATACCAATTTGACTTTAACACTTAATCAATTGAACGTTGAAATATAAGTTTGTGTTAATATTTCTCCCCAGAATTTTACCAGTTATGCTATTGACACTGGTGTTGACAACATAACATTATCTACAGTATTAAACAACTTAGCAAAATGGAGTCACTATGTACTTTGGTTAGCTGCAAGCACAGCCTTTGGAGATGGAAACCAAACGAGTGAGATAATACACGTGTACACGGATCAAGATAGTATGTACACATTTTTTTCATTCTGAAATGTCCTAAGTAAAACATTTATAAATTATTCTGTTGGAAGAATTCTAGTCGAAGGATTACAACACTAGGCCATGTGTCAGCACCACCCTGGTGGGTTTTTTTAAAGGGGACTTACAGTCTTCTTGTAGTCATCCTCCATCCTTACCCTTTAGAATGGGATTTACTGCATTCCTTCCACAAGGGATCAAGATCAATGTACATTCATCAACCTTACGGCACAGTAGAACTTGCTATATTTCAGAGTCAGATATGAACCTGACCTCTGCATTCCACACTGCACCTGTTCTCAGCCTGTGATAGTGCCCAGCCATCTGAAACATAGCACATTACCAAACTAATGTCCCAAGAAATGTATCTTTAACTCTTCCTGAGGCTGCGGTCAGATGACAAGCTTAGCATGGTCCGGCTGTGCTTGTAATTACATCTAGGTTTTTTTCAGACATCCTAGCCTTAACTGGCTGCACCGCATGTTCACCCTGTGGTTGACTGTTCAGATTATTGCTTCTTGGTAACCACAGAGCAGTTGGTGAGGTGACATCCTTTTTTGTTTGTTTTTCACGCATGTGCACAAGCACGTAGCCAAAGCACTGGCTCCTTTCTGACAGCTGTACAATCCCTACGCCAAGTACTGTGATAATTGGTTCCTATACAACTGTATTTCTCTGCAAGAAATCACTCCCTTTCTTGACTGATCTTACTGCCTTTCCCAATAATTTCATAGGGAAGTTTCCCCTTTTCCTCTCCCCATACAGTTTTCCCACCAGACTATTATGAAGTTGCTTGGACTAAAGTTTCGGGGGTGGAATCCTGGCCGCCGATATGGGAGCCTAAATAGGGACTATTTCCACCACCATCCCACCCCAAGAAATGGCAGAAAGGGGCTTTTTTCTTGAATTTGCCACTCAAAAACAACTCCTTGGGGACTCCTGATCCCAACAAAACATTGTGATGCATAAACACACAAGCAGTGCCTCATGACCCTGCAGTGGAGATCTGCTTATGCACATCTCACTAATTGTTTTTTGTTTTTTTTTAAGGAGCAAAAATGGAAGGGAAGATTCAGACCCCGATGAAGTGTTCAGACATCCAGAAATGCAGGGTGAAACCAGACAATTCATAGACCTCAGACTTTCTCCTGTATTAGAAAACACCGATTCAGGGACGGGTGAGAATGGGAGGGTGATGACTGGGGAACGAGATACGGATGATGCTGTCTGATCATGCATTTTAAATCTGGAAAGGAGCAACAATGACGCCAGATCAAACAGCTCGTCTGATCACAGCCAGTGGAGAAAGGCTTTCATTCTTTCTTCTGGGTATATAGTTTGGCAAACTGTTTCCCCCCGTCTTGAAAGAGAAAGGAGAGACAAAAGATGGATGTTTCCAGAGTTTTGCAAGCATTTTTGAGGAAAGAAGATCCTCTTGAGTCCTCCAAAAATGCATTATATTTCTATCACATTGTCCTGGACTTCCAGGAAGAGGGTATGGCTTTCTGAAATCCAGATCTTATTTACCCAATGGAATATTTTAAAGACTGCTGAGAAGAGAGTGTGGTTACACTGCCCCTAGTGGGATACCTTAAAAAGATTAATGAATTTACAAAACAGCTGCACAAGAGAAAATGGACCCTAATGTGACCCTCTGCAGGATCTATGAATCACAATTATGATTTCAAACAAAGATTTCTACAATTATATCCTAATAAGGCATCAGAACTTCAGTATGGGGGACAAAGTGTGCTCAGTCTAGTTCACAAAAGCTTACGCTAGACTAAAAAGTTGGTCATCTTTAAAATTCTACAAGTCTCCTGCTTATTTTTGCTGCAATTAACATAATGACTTATCTGGAATTACTATCAATTTTGGGATACTATGGAACAAGTAAGTTAGAAAGTGAGAACATAGCATTTGGAAGCTACAGTGCTGAGTCCTTTTCATGTGTGTTTTCTGTAAGACAAAATTACCACCTCCAGAGCTAAGCATGTGTGTGACTGAAAAGCTAGGGCTGCCAACCTCCAGGTGGTAGAAGCCAAAAATGAGAGATCACAGGAGGAAATGGAATTCCAAAAATAACATCCGTGACAAAAATAACGAAGAGTCAATAAAGTAGGGCTGCCAAGTGGGGGCGGGGGCGGGTAAACCCCCGCTTCAGAGGCCCGATTCCCGCCGCCATGGAATCGGGCCCCGGGGGGACCTCCACCCCCCGAAGCGCAGCGTGGCTGCGTCACTGGAGGTGACGCAATCACGTTGGGGGTGTGGCCTCAATCGTCGGAGGGAAAACTCTATGGTTTTCCCTCTGATGATCGGGGCCACGCCTTCAACGTGATCGACGTCACACATCACTTCCAGTGACGTGCTGGCAGTGTGTGTGTGCAAAGCGCACGCGCACATCAACAGACGGCTCCCACTTGAATTTGTTGCTCAAAAACAACCCCCCAGGGTTTCCAATCCCAACAAAACATTCCAGTGCTTATAAACCCACAAGTGGTGCCTGACAACCCTATGGTGGAGATCCTCTTATGTGCCTATCACTAATTGATTTTTTTTAAAGGAGCAAAAATGGAAGGGAAGGTTCAGGCTTCCCTTTTGGCTTGAGACTATGATGGAGAGTTCAGACGTCTGGAAATGCAGGATGAAACCAGACAATCCATAAACCTCAGACATTCTCCGGTATCAGAAAACACCAATTCGGGGATGGGTGAGAACAGGGGCTGATGACTGGGGAACAGGATATGATTGATGCTGTCTGATCCTGCATTTTAAATCCAGAAGGGAACAGCAATGATATCAGATCAAACAGCTCATCTGATCGCAGCCTAAGTGAACTTCCTTACATGGAGAAAACAAAAGCACATAAATTATTCATAGGTGTGGGCAGAAGTGGTTCAAATTCAATATATTCAATAAGAACCAAGCTACTTAATCAAGTGAATTCAAAGAATGCCATCTCACTATTCTCAAACATTGTATGGAAGTAATTTCCACCAAAATAGGTGAAACTTAACTTCCATGTGTAGTGTTTAAGATCAAAGTGTTAATGTTTGTATGAATGTAAAAGGCTAGAGTATACATTTGGTACATAAAGATACTTTAACCTTTGTTCACTTATGCTACAGTTCCTGATGGACCTATTGAAAATGTGGCCTATCAAAACATTTCATCTACTGCTGTAAATGTAAGCTGGTTACCCCCAGCCCAGCCAAATGGAATAGTCTTCTACAATGTTTCTCTGACAAGACAGGAAGCTCAAATGGACCATGAGATTCTGTTACTCATTTTGCACGATACAAATGTAGTTTTTGATAGACTGGAAAAGTATAGTAGTTACCATCTGAAAATTACTCCAGCAACAGAAAAAGGACCATCTGAAATACATACTACTACACTTCACATCAGAACTGAAGAAGATGGTATGTCATTTTTTTGTGTTAATCTTTGGTTTTGCTCCAACATGAACAGCATATGATTTCAATTGTTAATGCATGGCACATAGATTATCTTGACCAGTGGGGTATTTTTTTTAAAAAACCCCCACCCTTGTAACCCTGATATTTGCATAGAAGGTTTAAAACACGAGAGGAAAAAATGCTACAGAAACAGAAAGTAGGTAAAAAAGATGCCCAAATGGCTTTTAGATCTGTATACTGAAATTTTTAAAGGGTTGGATATGATATTGTACTTTTTAAATAGCTATTTCAGAATTGCACATCCTACACTTGGGTAAATAGCTAAGTCAAATAAATTACTTGTAGCAAATGAAGAAATTAGCTTCAGTGTCTGAATGGTGTAATTCTGATGTTAGCTCTCATGCTGACCAAGTTATCCCTCTCTGCTTTAGCAAAATGTTAAGTTTTTTAAAAGACTCTTAACTGTTGTACTATTGGTGCAATACACTATTTAATTATTGTAAAATAATTTAATTACAGCTAGTTAAGAAATATACTGGCACACAACTACTGTTGTCAGGGGTGTTTTGTATTTATGATAGTGAAGGAAATGAGCTTTTATATTATTGGCTGGTGCTTCCTATACATTTCATCATAATGTTTGTATTTGTAATTTAATATTTTCCTCCTTTTTAAAATGAGGCAGTTCCAGAATCTGCACCAATTATGAAGTCATACAAAAATCTCTCATCTACCTCTGTGATGTTATCTTGGGATCCTCCAGCTCAGCCAAATGGCATTATAATGAGATATGAATTACAGCTGCAAGGACCAGAAATAAATTCCTCTTTCAGTACCTCCAATGAGTCAGTCATTTTAGAAGCTCTTTCACCGTTTACACTGTACAGCTTTTTTGCTTCTGCAAGAACCATAAAAGGACTTGGCCCATATGCCGTACTTATGTTCTCCACAGATGAATCAGGTGAGTGATGAATTCCAAAAGGTTCCAGAAAGTGGTACTGGGAAATTGCTGTAGTACCTCTTGGAATCTGGCTGTAGAGTTCCACAGGCTGCCATCTTGTCTTTCATGCTACTTAATATATACATGAAACTACTGGGAGTGGTAATCGGATGTACAATTATATCAGTTTGCTGATTATACAACTCTCTCACTCTCTCTTATTTCCATGAAATTCCAGAGAGATGGTAGAAACATTCAATTAATATCTGAAGGTGGTGTGAAGGTCTGCACTTGGGCAAACAAAGTAAAACAACCTCAGAAAGGGCATAAATTGTTGTTTGGAGGTAAAACAGATTTGAGATTAGGTTTACAACTGGTTTTAGATGGGGTTTTAGTATCCTGAACTTAAATCGGTATTTTCAACCAATTAATCTCTTGGAGTCATGCCTCTGTAATACAGTGTGTTATTTTACTGCATGATATGCCAATGCAAAATTTGTTACTCTACGATTAAAATCCCTGCATGATGGCATGGCAGGCCTCAGTATAGGCTCTATGTATGATATTTAAATTCCTCGGAATGTATGGTTTATCTGGTTGATTTTTCTTTAAGTAGAAAGCTCAGTAGATTTTACAATTTATTAATCTCTAGAGAAATTTCTATAGCTGCAAAATAACACCTTGTAAAATATGAACATCACCCCGTTGGTTCCGAAGAAGTTTGGAAATGAATGCACAAGAAATCTCTCATGGAGAATTTTTCTTACAGTTTGTCCATAGGTATCAGTAATTTTTTTAGATTAAAACAAAAGAACATTTTCTTTCTCAGTTCCATTGGCTCCTCCTGAGAATCTGCAGGTTATCAATCACTCATCCAACTCTGTATGGCTGAGATGGAATCCAAGTCCTCAACCAAATGGTGTTATTAAAAGATATACTTTTAACATTTTTGAAAACATCAGTCAAGCTACATTCTATCAGGTATGTAGTATTAGTATTTATAATTATTGTTGTTATTAAGAAATATTTAACAAGTGCCAACAGTGTGCCAGATGATGCACCTAAGGGAAAGGACAAGGCAGATTCTGAAATAAGCTAATCAGTGGAATGGTTCTGATAACAAATAGGGTGCAGGCCTAGAATCTGTTTTAAGCACAGAGGAGGGCTTTGATGTTATGATGACAAAGTTAAAAGAGAAGGAGATGATTTGATGGGTTGGATTTTTTCTGGCACAGGGAGTAAAACTATGAAAATGGTATGCAAAAGTAGGTTCACCAGTGGTCCTGGGACTGCGGCAGTCCTTACTCCTGGGATTACAACTCCTCCTCTCTGACAGCAGAGCCAGCCAACAATTTTGATCCCAGAGGGGAGGGACTTGTTCCTTGGATTCCCAGTCTTACCTGCCCTGCCTTCTGATCAGGACATGTTTCAACAGTGCTGAGAGCACAGCAATCCCAGAAGACACAAGAAAAAGAAGAGGTGGTTTAGGAAGGGAAGGCATTTTGCCTCAACCCCTCCAGGTGGCGTCATTGATTAGCACAGGTACCAGAAGCTGTTTAAAGTGTTCGGATGGAGCAGGGAATACCCCTGCGACTACAGAAAGACACAGGCTCCCAAGAAAGCTGCTTTCCCTCCAGTTGGCAGACCCTCCCTCTCTAGCAGTTTAGAGAGACTGGAGGAAGTGGTAGAGCCGGTGAATACCCGCAGAGAGAAGAGAGGATTCCTTCGATCCTCTGTGAGGTTTGAGACTCTGGCATTGCCCCTTGGCGTCCCGGCGAGCAGTTTCATTCCTACCAGCAACTGAAACTCGGTAAGGCAGAGGTTGAGGGGGAGGACGGACCCTCCATATAGGAGGGCTGCTTTCAGGGAAGGGGCATCATTCGGCAGGCCACCTTCCTCACCCCCACCCTTCTTAATTCCTCAGTTACAACTGTAGCCCAGCTAGGGAATCTCCACCTGGTAGGTGCCTCCTGGCAAAGGCCGGTGGCGTGGATGGGGTTTTTTGGCAGAAATTGAGGGATTTCCTAGATTAACCTGGCAGCCCAACATTACTGACATCAACTTATGGCTGGGAGGGAGCCTCACTAGCCATGAGGGTGAAGTGGGAATCCTCTTTGCGGTGGGGACAACTCAATTGGAGGGAGGCGGAGACTGAATTTATGGTACTCAAAAGTGGGAAGGTGGCCATTTTAGAACCTACTTAGGAGCTTTTCATTTTCACAGTGAAGACAAAATGGCGGAGAAAGCAGGCCCCTCCAACTCAGCTATGGAAAGTATAACTTGTGAATTTGATCTACCCAATTCCCCTTCTTTCAGTTTTACTCAAACACTTCAGCATGGGGGCTAAACAGGGGACTTTTCAGGAGAAGATGCCAAAACAAACATTCTTTTTTGGTTGGAGTCTGAAATGAGGAAGGAGTTTAGAGTATTAGGCAAGCATCCCACCATAGGGAACCTTCCGATTCATCTCTTGAATGTGGTAGATCAAAACATAGGCAAAAGAGAACCAAAGATCACAGCAGGTATTTCTCCTCTCCTGAGGGAAAAAGAGTAAGAGTTATTGTAAATACACTCAGGAACATAGTCCTCTCTTAAGTAAACAGGGGGGAAACTCAGACTCCACAGGCTCTTCTTCTACTAAGGAAGAAGGACATCTCTCAGAGGAGGAGGCAAAGATTGTTCCCACTACTTAGACTAGACTCTTCCCTCAGGAAATATATAATAAATTGTTACCCAAGGTATTGAGGACTCTGGAACTAGCTTATACTCCTAAGGAAACTGAGGAAGAGGATTCAGGCTTCCCAGTGGAGTCAGAGAAAACCATTCCCAAGACAGGTCTAAAGCTGTACAGGTACCCCTACCAGCAGCCTTTTACAGTCTCATGAAAGCACAGTGGGATCACCCTACAAAACCTAAGGCTAACCACCCTATCTTCACAAAGTTTTATTCTCTTATTACAGAGGCCTCAAAAAAGATTAAATTTCCAATTGTGGATGATCCAGTCAACAGCCTAGCCTTCACTTCTGTTTTACATATGAAAGCTGATGGCCTTCTCAGAGACTAAAGTGACAAAAAGATTGAGCAAGCCCTGCGAAGGGATTTTGAAGCGTCAGCCAGTTCCCTTAGGTTATCTGCTACAGGATCACTCTTTGCTAGAGTGGCCTATGTGTGGTCTTCTGAACTAGCTAAAGCAAACAGTGTTATCCCCAAAGGGCTTAAAGATGAACTCAAGAAGATCGCCTTAGCCACGGCCTTTGCAGCAGATGCATCCTTGGATGCCCTTCAACAATCAGCTTGGGCGATGGCTGCCAGCATGATGGCCAGAAGAAACACATGGCTGAGGAACTGGGATGTTGATCCTTTGGCCAGAGCTAAGGTAGCAGCAGTTCTGTTTAAAGGACCCAACCTTTTTGGGGAAGGCCTAGAGAAGTACCTTGTGGAGGATAAAGATAAGAAAAATGTGCTTCCCCCAAAGAAAAGGGAACTAAAATCCAAAAAGCTGTTTCAGTCCTTTTGGGATTATAGAAGGGACTCCAAATCAAGCTACAATAAGTCCTTTAAGGGAAAGTGGCAGCCAAAATACAGGGAAAACAGAACAACCTCTTTCCCCAACAAACAACAGAACCCAAAGAACACCAAGAAGGGCAAATCAGCTTGTCCATGCCGGGGCCCCCAACAGAGGAGTCGGGGGTTGCCTACAGACTTTTGTGATGAGGTGGCATCAAACAGTGACCGACAGATGGGTGTTAAGCACAGTTTCAGAGGGGTACTCATTGGAGTTCCACACTCTCCCACCCAACCGATTCCTAGAGATCCCCATGAACCAAGCAACAGAGAAACACAGACTGTTAAAGATGGCTGTTCAGCATCTTCTGGAGACTGGGGACAGAACCGGTCCCTCACAAGGAAAGAACATAGGAGGTATACTCCGTATTCTTCATAGTCCCAAAGAAGAACGGGGACGTCTGGGCCATTCTGGATTTAAAATGGCTGAACAAATGAATTGTAACCAAGAAATTCAAGATGTGAACTCCGAAATCCATAGTGTCATCCATAGAACAAGGGGACTTTATATGTTCGATCAATCTGTCAGAGGCCTATTCTGATCAGGCAGTCACATCGAAGGTTCCTCAGGTTTGCCTACAATGGATACCACTTCCAGTCCTGGGCCCTTCCTTTTGGCTTGAACTCCTCACTAAGGGTCTTTACCAAGGTCCTGGTTTCTTTGGTGGCATACCTGAGGGTCCAGGGAGTAGCATTATTTCCTTATCTGGATGACATTTTGGTCAGGGCCCCATCATACAGCCAAGCTTAGAAGGACTTAGGGCTGACAATGAAAGTGCTCAGAGAGCATGGATTTGTCATCAACCTCGAGAAAAGTACGTTGTTACCAACACAATCTATTCTGCACCTAGGGGTATGGATAGATACACAGCTTGACAGAGTATTCCTGTCAATAGAGAGGCAACAGAAGATACTACATCTATTAGCCCAAGTGCTGAAAGAAACAGAGGTGGAGGTGATGACACTAGCTCAATTATTGGGCATGCTAGTGTTGTGTCAGGATGTCCTTCAATGGAACAGGTTTCACAGTTGCCTGCCTCAGAGGTTTTTACTGCCCTTTCAGAACATAATAGCTCACTAGAGGCCCTGGAAGGTACTCATGCCGGAAAAGGTGAAGCAGGAACTGAAATGTTGGATGTCTCCAACACGTTTCCACAAAGGGAAACTTTAAGAGAACCTCAGAGGCTGGTGGTGATGACTGATGCTTGTCTATATGGATGGGGAATGCATACCAAGAGCGAGATGATTCAAGAAACATGGTCAGCCAGGAGTATCAATTTTCTCAAACTCAGAGCCATCAAGTTAGTCTTGCTGCAGTTTGGGGAGGTGCTGGAGGGTCTTCACGTCCTGATTCAAATGGAAAACATGACAGCCAAGGCATATCAACAGGCGGGGGGGGGGGACAAGATCCAAATCCCTGCACAAGGAAGTGAAGTGGTTGATCAGTGGGCAGAGGAACATGTACAGTCAGTGAAGGCAATTCACATGGCGGGTTGAGACAATTCCATAGTAGATTGATTGAGCTGGAGAAAAATAGACCAATCAAAACGGATGCTCAACAGGATAGCTTTTCTACAGATCTGTCACAAGTTTGGAAAGGCGGAAGTGGACCTGTTCACCACCAAAAAAAAAACCCTGTCAATTGCAACAATTTGTGTCAAGGACAAGGTGTCAAAAAGCAATAGGGACAGATGCGCTGAACTACAATTGGCCAAGGGCACTCCTGTATGCCTTCCCACTGGTCCAACTTTTGCAGAGGGTGCTACAAAGAGTAGTGGATCAAAAAGCAGAGGTTATAGTAGTAGCATCTTTCTGGCCAAGGAGGGCTTGATTCCAAGACCTAACAAGGATGGCAGTAATGGAACCATGGCGCTTGCTGCTGAGGTAGGAGCTATTGAGCCAAGGGGTGGTGGTTCACCCTCATCCAGAGATGCTCAGCCTCACTGCTTGGAGGTTGAGCGGCAGCAGCTGATCACCATGGTGGTGGTAGAAACCATGTTGGTGTCCAGAAGGGGATCCATGAATAGCATTTATAACACTACTTGGAGAGTCTTTAGTTCCTGGTGCAGGGATAAGCCCTCAGTGGGTGAGATCTTATCCTTTTTGTAACAGGGGTTAGAGAAAGGTCTTAGCACATGCACATTGAATCGTCAGGTGGCTGTTCTTTCAGCGGTACAGGGGGCAAGGAAAGGAAAGTCACTAGTACAAGAACATCATGTTAAAAGATTCTTGAGGAGAACTTCTCTATTGAATCCACCCCAAACACACCACTTTCTGACCTGGAATCTTAACGTTTGAACCAATGGCTAACTGCAGCATGAAAGATCTTTTCATCAAAACAGCCTTCCTAGTGAGCATTACATCAGCTCGGAGGGTTTCAGAACTGCAAGCCTTATCCATTGATAAAGAACTCTATG